TGTTTTCCTGTTGTTGGCTCCCCCATTTTCCCCCTCCTTTTAATAAAGTCTTGCCTGGTGGATTCCTTCTATTTGGATTCATGGAGCTGTATTCCTTATTATCTCTTTCTAGAATGTCCTTCAGAACATTTTGGAGTGCTTGTTGGTGGTCATAAATTTCCTCAGATGTTCTTTGTTATGCAAGTATCTTATTTCTTCATCAATTTTGAAACAGTTTTGTGGGATACATCAATCTGAGTTGTAAGTTGTTTTCATATATATATATATATATATATATATATATATATGTTGTTTTCTTTTAGAACCTGGAGTACTTCATTCCAATCTCTCCTTGAGAGTTTGTCCTGAGAAGTCAGCTGTGATTCTGATGGTCTTTCCTTTGGTGATTTGTGTCTTTTCCTTACAGCTTTTTTTTTTTTTTTTTTTGAGATGGGTCTCACTATGCAATTCAGGCTGGCCTTAAGCTCACTTTGTAGCTCAGGCTGGTCTCGAACTTGCAATGATCCTCCCACCTCAGCCTCCTAGTGCTGAGATTACAGGCATGAGCCACCATGCCTGGCTTCCTTACATTTTTAAGATTCTATTCTTACAGGTTGGGGATTTAGCTCAGTGGTATAAGCACCTGTCTGGCCAAGTGTGAGGTCATGAGTTTGATCTCTGGTACCACATTAAAAAAAAAAAAAAAAAAAAAAAGAAGAAGAAGAAGATTCTATTCTTGTGTTCAATTTCTGGAAACTTGACTATAATATTCCTGGCTGTAGAAATTTTTTGATCATGGCTAATTGGGGTTCCATATGCCTCACTTATCTGTATGTCAGATTCTTTTTCTCTATCAGGAAAGTTTTCTGCCATGATGTCTGTGAACATTTTTAAAATATCATCTGTGGTATCTCCTGCTTATTCGTTGACTGCAGTTAATCTTAAATTGTTTTTTGTTTTTTTTTTTTTGTCTCATCTAGCAGCTGCTAGATTGATTTTTCATGGTACTTTGCTTTTTTTTTTTTGGTAACAGGGATCAAACTCATGACATTGTATTTGCCAGGCAAGCGCTTGTGCTGCTGAGCTAAATCCCTGGCTCTGCTTTGCTGTTTCGAGAAATCATTCTTTTCCTAGTCACTAACTGTAAGCCTGTCTTCAGTATCTGAGATCTTGTCCTCACATTGGCCTAATCTGCTTCAAATAATTTCTGTGGAATTTTTATTCTCATGGATATGTTTGAATCTACTTTATGGATTCCATTTCTTTCCTATGCTGAGTTTCCATATTTTTCTTATGCCACCTATTTTTTTGTCTCTATCTGCTCTAGTGTCACTAAGCATGATCTTTTTTGAGACGGAGTCTCGCTATGCAGTTCAGGCTGGACTTGGGCTCACTTTGTAGCCCAGCTGGTCTCAAACTCGCAACGCTCCTCCTGCCTCAGCCTCCTGAGTGCTGGGATTATGAGCATGAGCCACCACGCCCAACTCTCTAAGCATGATCTTTTTTTTTTTTTTTTTTTTTTGTCTTTTTCCTTTTTATCGGTACCAGGGATCTAACTTACAACTGCCTGCTCCCAAGGCAGGTGCTTATCCCGCTGAGTTAAATCCCCAGCCCCTCTAACCATGATCTTTACCTGAGAGATTATTTCTGATTTCATTTTTTCTAGAGCCTCATTCGATTGCCTTGTGGTTAACACTTGAGGGAGGCCAGGTGGGAGGCTTTTGGATTGTCCCATCTCATTGCTTCCTGGATTTGCCTTTGGTGAACTTGATGTCTGGGGTTGCATTTTAAGTGTTTTTTCATTTTTTTCTTCCTTTTTTTAGTTTAATTTCTGGGGTGATGCTTGTAAATTGCCTCTGGTGAGTTGCCTTATTGCTAGTATTTAGAATTTCTAGATTATAGCTATTTCTGTGAGGTATCTTCCAGGTGTAGCTGGTTTTTGGTTTTGAGTCTGTTGGAAGATCTCACCTCTTCAGTTTGTTGGAGATGAGAAGTTGTTACTTGTTTGGCCTAATTCCTGGTTCTTTGGTACTGTGGGACAGGATTTTCTGTGATCTTTAGTCAATCTCAGTTATAGAATACCAGGATCAACAGCTGTTTAGAACAATTATGTCATAGGGCCAAGGGATTTAGCTCAGTGGTATAAGTGCCTGCCTGGCAAGTACAAGGTTGTGAGTTTGATCCCTGGTACAAAAAACAAAACAAAACAACCAATTATGTCAGTTTGGCTACAGTGGTACCAGTAAAGCATCAAATAGATCGAGCAAAGCACAAAATGAGCTAACCCTTAATTTGCTACTTTTACCTATATGAACTAGATTTGTGGTTATGTAACAAACTCTAAAACAAGCCAGAAAATTATATGCAGTATTACAAGTCAATTTTTCCCTCAGTGGTTAGAATTTAAAATGAATTGGGAGCTGGAGGTTTAGCTCAGCGGCATAAGCACCTGCCTTGTAAGCAGGTGGTCGTGAGGAGTTTGATCTCCGGTACCGATAAAAATGAAAAAGACAAAAAAAAAAGGAGAAAATAGAGATGTGAAAGAAGACTTGTGTGTGAGATTTGAAGGTCGTAGGACAAAGGGGGACCACACCAGCTTTAGAAACTGGTGCAGAAGACAGGGAAATAGAGATGGAAGACATAAAAGGAAGAACAGAATGGAACCACAACCACAAAGAGGCCAGGAACCACATTCACACTCATACAAAAACAAGATCAAACAATGAAGGAGAAAGAGAAAAGAAGAAAGAAGAAAGAACAAAAAGCAAAAGCCCACTTTCAGGATTCTCTCTGGTTTTAGTAGTAGACAGCCTGTGGAGACAGAGTCCCAATTTGTGTGGATCTCTCCCAGCAAGCCAGCAGTAGCTTTTTGTTGGGGTAATGGATCATCTCAGCAGGCCTGCCCCAAGCCCAGACTCAGGCGCACTGCTGTCCAAGCAATATCCGGGGGACTGAGCCCAGCTGGGAGCTGCTAGATGTTGTTGGCAGCAGTTCTAGGATCTGAGCTCAGGCCTATCTCCAAGATGGCTCCTGGCTAATTGCTCTCCTGCAAGAGGACTAAATCCTCTGCACTCACTGCCAGCCAGCACATTCCCTCACATCTACAGTTCCCTCCATTACTGCATCCTTTTGCAGAGGCCTCTGGGTCACCAGCCATCCCTGTTACTCTGGGTTCACATATGTATTTTTGTTTCTAATTTTTTTTTTTTTTTTGGTCTTTTTCGTTTTTTTTATTGGTACCAGGGATCGAACTCACGACTGCCTGCTTGCAAGGCAGGCGCTTATGCCACTGAGCTAAACCCCCAGCCCCTGGGTTCACATATGTAAACTGCTCCTCTCATGCAGGGAGCCCTGTCTTCGGGAGAAGGTGCTGCCAGTTTCTCTTTAAATTTCTCTCCATGGGCTTCAGTTCACATTTTATATTCATCCTGGTTTTGGTGGGCTCACTTCCCTCATCTTCCTCACAATGCTATATTCCAGGTAACTCAGAGAGGCTGTTGTCTCTGCTGTTTACTCCTCTGCCATCTTTGGTTTTTTGAGAAAAGGTTTCCATATGTAGTTCAGGCTAGCCTTGAGCTCACTTTGTAGTCCAGGCTGGTCCTAAACTTGTGGCAATCCTCCTGCTTAGCCTGCCAAGTTTTGGGATTATAGGGGTGTACCACCATGCCTGGCATGTTGAGGTTACTTTTTATTTCTGATTCTAACTAGTTCTTTTTCTTTTTATACTCGAAATCGAACTCACAACCTTATGTTAACCAGGCAGGCATGTATGCCACTGAGCTAAATCCCTGGCTATTTTTATTTTTGGCACTGGAAATCAAACCTAGGACCTTGCACTTGCCAGGCAGGTGCTTATGCTGCTGGGCTATATCCCTGGCTGAAGCAGTTAAGAGCCATCTTGGGCTAGCTTTGGCACTTCACAGCTTCGCTAAGAAGTCCTGGCCAGGTCTCTCAACCTGTCTGTGGCCAAGTTCCCGTCCTGTGAAATAAGGCATCCTAGTGTGGAGGATAAGTGATACAGTGCACTTAGGGTGAGCAGGGGATGGGTAGTTTATGTTGTCCAGTGTCATTACAGACCTTGCTCCTTAACAGGTCACTCAAGTATCCTTAATGAAACCCATTCTGATTGCACTACTCCTGCTCTAGGACCTCATGACCCTCTGCAGAGCATCACTAGCAGAGGCTGTGCTTGTGTGGGTAGCGGGTGCTCATGCTCTTGACCTCCAAACACCCAGGTTGGGGGTGTGAAAGCTGGTGTATCTTCCCAGGCCTAAGCAGAGCTACCCTAGGGACAGGACTGCCACTGTCCTCAGTTAAGTTCTGCCAGTGCAGCCATCATGTACCTATGGCCCTTGGTCACCATGATGTCCCTTTCTGGTTATTTAGAAATTCACCTGATTTTTTTGATCTAAGGTTTTCCTTGCCTAATTTGAATGTGGCTAGGAGTAAACTTTTTCCCTACAGTTTGTCTGTATTCAGAGCAGGATAAGGTGGGTGCTTCAGTGGTTGCTATCCCTCTAAAATACTAGACACTAATAATTAGGCACCCATTATTTTTTGAACTACTTCAGCTATGCACCTAGTGTTTCTAAATGAGTCTTGATGTTAGAGATGGTCCTTCATAGTTGTTTCACTGGCCTATCATGTAATCTTTGTTTTATGGCCAAATTATTGGAGATCAGTTTCTCTAGGTCAGTGATGGCAAACATTTTCGAGCTTTCAATAATGTAAATAGCCTGCTACAGCACCCATGCTATAGGTTTACCATCATGGCTGCAGGTATTCCACTGTTCTGCCAAACATGACAGGATTTGTTCCTGGAAGGCATGGGCAATGCCAGACCCACCACACCAGACAAGCTGCAAGCTGGGACTCAATCCGCTGAGCAGACCCCAGCTGCCAGCAGCCCTCCTCCATACAGGTACTTACAGGCTGACCCTGAGCTGCAGATATGGAAAGTCTGATCTGAGTGCCTTGACTCTGGGTTATACTGGAAAGCACAAGATGCTCAGGACACCAGCTAGATGCAATACTGCAAAATAAATTTATTTGAAGATAAACTGTCTTATAAAATGTCAGAGACAATTTAAGATTCCAGATTCAACTTGTCTTGTAAAAAGATTCAACTTCAATAGCACAATTTGTGTCTGCTTTTAATCTGCAACATTCTTGAGTTATGAAATAGCCAACTCCTTACACAACACACTCAACATCTGACCCAGCACCAGTGGACTCACAGCTTTTGGCTCTGGGGGCTATAGGTCCCAGACTCAGGAGACCCATTCTGGGCTACTATGGTCTCTGGCTGTGACAACAGGCACAGTTCCCAGCATCTCAGCCCTTCTTTCCCTTGGCACCTTCCAAAAGCACAGAACAGAAACCAAGACTGGCCTACTAATGAGCAGGGAATGAGATGTCTGCAAGACACCGTGCTGTCAGCCCATGGTGGCCATTTCTGGTGACTCCCAGCAGGCCTGGCCAACTGCCAAGCTCTGTGCAGTGGCGTGCCCAGAACCTTACCTGGCTGCCTGGCAGCCAAGAGGAAGAAAAAAAGGGAAAAGAACTGCACAGGTATGACAGCTCCTGCCCACTCTGGCAGGAGCTACGTGATGATCCTGGCAATGGCTTGCAGGGAGGGGAAATCATCGTCCCGGGCAGCATGTAATGCCTGGTGGCTGCTGACATCTCCATGTGCAAGCACCTGCTGACAGGTAGGGCACACACAACAGTCCAGGCCCACATTCTGAGTACTGGCTTGCCATGCGTTCTTTTTATTCTTCTTGGATTTGGCAACAGGAGGCTTTTCACGGCTGCAGAAGTCCGTGTGTGCAGACAGCAGTTCCTGCTGCTTGGCTGTGTCTGGCAACAGCACCAGCAACTCACTAAAGATCTTCTGGAAGTTCTCCCCAAGCAGGTCCCGACAGCTCCTATAGTACTGGGCTGCAGATATCATTCCCTGCCACCCAGAGAATACAATGTTATACTGGCCCCAGGCCAGGGCCTGGTAAACACAGGATGGCCTCCCTGTACCCCTTCCCCACTACCTGTCTGAACTCCCCCGAATGGCTCTTGAACTTGCTGAAGCGGGCCTCATCACTCTGCAGGAAGTCCTTGATGGACTGGATCAGCTGGAGGTTCCTCTCCCGGAAGTTCTCAGGGACCAAGTAGGACCGTGGTGTGGGTGTCAGCCTGGGTCTGGGGTGAGGATAAGAGGAGGGAGTGTCACCTTTGAGGTACCAGTGGAGAGAATCCTTCTGCTGGTCCTGAGTGGCAAGGAGGCTGGGGAGTCCAGCCTACTTACGCTTTCACTGTGGTAGTAGTGGGGGGGCTGGGGACGCAAGCTGTGTGGGGACCAGGCAGAAAGCTGGAGAAGCCAGGGGGTGGCTTGTTGATGGGAGGCATCAGGCCTGGTGGGGGTGGGGTACCCTTGAGGAGCACCACAGTGTTGAAGCCTGCAGGACAGCACAAGACCCAAACACAGTCCTTGGTGACTAGCTTCTTTCAAGTCACCCAGCCCACTGGTGAGACTTCTGTTTGCAGACCATAGCTCCAACACAAGCCCAGGGCCAGTCCCTACTACATTGGCAACTCTGACTTGTAACAGCTCATGCACCTCTAGGCCCGGCACTGTTCTGACATCCATTCACAGAAAGGAAAGGAACACAAGTTAAATGGTAGGACTAAGTCACAAGGCTCAGGGTTGATAAGGCAAATTGAGTAGCAGTGCACTGGCTCCCACCCGAAGTTGGGAATGAACCTGAACCTCATACTTCTGGCCATGAGCCTGTCTGTGCCCCTAGGCCCCTTCCCAGATACATACATTGGGGGAGTTAGTCACTCCTACCTGGGGGAGGAGGCATCCTGGGTGGGCAGGGTCCTCCCAGCACAGGGAAGTCTTCCTGGGGTGCAGGGTAGGGGAGAGGCCCCAGGGGCCTTGGGAGCCCAGGGGGTTCCTTGGGGGCACTCCGCCCTGGCACTGGCCCGTCAGTGTGTCCATTGATGACTGGCCCCTCAGCTCGGCTCACAGAGATGTCGAGGGGCTGCTCAACCCCAGGGGGGTTTGGTGTATGTTCGGAGGGCACAGAAGGGGATACCGTAAGACCGGGCTTCTCAGAGCCCACCTTCTTCTTCTTGCTGACCTTGGTGGAGGTATGGCTGGAGGCCGACCCCAGCAGGGTAGAGACAGCTACTGTGGTAGGTGTGGTCCGCAGCTCCTGCACAGTGAGGCCACCTCCCTCTTCTTCCACGGGGGCTGAGCCAGCCTTCCGGCAGCCCTTGATGCCTTTTCCTGGCTTCTTTGGGGGCTGGGCACCCCCACTGGCAGCCTGAGTCCCGGGGGTAGACAGGGCCCCCTTCTTGCCACAGCTGCTATTCCAGGCAGAGATGAGGCTGGGGGCAGCAGTGCTGGGCTTGGACACTGAGGACACCAAGGCAGGGAAATCCTCTTCCTGGAAAGTATTCCTGCCCCTGGTGGCCCCAGGGTATACCAACGCCAACCCTACAGGGCCTGGGGTCGTCACTGGGCAACAGGAGGAAGTGGAAGCATGGAGGCTGGGGAAGTCTTCATCCTTGAGCTTTGGGGTAAGTGGGAGGGGGGTGCTGGGTCCAGGGAGGAGAGAGCTAGTCAGCAGCTCACCAGGTCCTGGCCCACCGCCCACCTACCCACTTCAGGCACTGTCCCCTCATGCCATTCCCTCACACACACCTTGGAGGGGCAGCTGCTGGGCCCGGGCCTGGGGCAGGGAAGGCTTCTTGGCTTAGTGGACCATTTCCTGAGGCTTCCTTGGGGCCTACAAGATGGGAAAGGACCCTTAGGTCAGAGCATGGGAGTGGCTTTGGTGGAATCAGCAAAGGTATGTTTTTACTTCCCAGAGAAGGTACTGGTCACACCCTGCCTGGGCAACTGCCAGTAAGTAGGCCCATCTCACCTGGGCCTTCCCCCTGAGCACGGGGCAGGCGCCGAGGACAATGGGGCTCCTCAGGACCCCGGGCAGCTGCTTCCTCTTTCTTGGGCCTGGTGCCTTCTTCACGGTCCTCGCTCCTACGAGTCTCATCCTGTTGCTGAGTAGCCACTGATGCCCGGATGGCAGCTGCTACTTCTCGTTCTTCTTCTTCCCTAGGGTTGGGAGGGCACTCTCAGGCTGAGCAAGCCCAAGGACACAGTCTTGCCAACTGTACTAACCTCCAAAGTAACAAGAGTTTTTCCACCCCACCACTGGTCCTTGTGTTTCTGGCTAGCATTAGAGGGAAGGAGGAAGAACCTGCTCATGGAAGACACTACACTGAGCAGACCTTGTTGCCACACTCAGGGCCCTAGGAATTAGGCTGAGGTCCCCTAACTGATGTCTATTCTTATTTCAGTTGCTAGCCACTACCCGGGTAGTACCAGAAAATGTCAGTAGCACACAAATCCTCCCACCTCTTGTACCTCCAGCTTCCTCGGCGGCTCTGCTGGGCTCCACGCCCACTGGCCCGGCCTGCTCGGCCCTGTCGGCTGTACCTGTCCACTTCTTCATAGTCCTCACCGCTAACGACCCCTGTGGTCAACACATAGCCTGTTATGGTTCTGTCCCCTAACAGGGCAGAAGGAATAATGGGCCTGCCATCCAAGTCATACTGAGGGAAAGGTTCCCCAGCCCCCAGCCATGAGCTGGGGGACAAGCCCAGACATCTTGCTGAATCCATATGAACCAAGTCACAGCAAGCACTGTGACGGGCAGAGTCTACACAGAACTGTGCTCAGTAACAGCCCCCTGAAACAGGAAGAGATCCAGGGATCTCAGAACAGCAGATGCAGGACACTGCAGAAGATAGGGCGAGTGAGGAGCTACTGGTTGTTGCCACCGTGAGTGCTCAGAGCACAGCCCATGGGTGAGGAAACAGCTCAGCAGCTACTGCCTTTCACCTCAGGTAAGCTGCAGGGAGGTGGATCCCAACCCAAAGTTGAGGCCTCAGGAGCAGGTATAGGACCCCGCCGCCTACCCTAGGTGACCCAGCCCAGGCCACAGCCCTCAGATGCCTAGCTTACCCTCACTCCGACGTGAGTGCCTCGGTGGGAAGCTAAACTGCAGGTCAATCTGGCGGTTCTGGCGTGCCTCTGCACGGCTGCGGCTATGGCAGGCTGTCCTATGTGCCTTGAGATCAATCTCAGTGCGGAAGGCGTGAGTGAACTGCTCTGTGCTGCAGCGGCCCTCCTCACAGAGGAAGTGCTTCTCCCGGAAGTGCTCGCGCAAATACGAGTAATCACTGGTAGGATGAGACATCAGGATTTAGCAGGAGCCTCACTGGTCACCAGACTGCCAGTAAGGCCACCTCTTGTGCCACAGGCAGCAGCCCCAATCCACCCACCTATAGTAGTCTTGGGCCCCATCTGAGTCACAGAAGTGGCAGAAGTAGTGGTCGCGGCGCAGGTGCTTGAGCAGTTCATCATTGTCCAGGTACCGCTCATCACAGAACTTGCAAAGTGGATGTCCCCGGTGTGATGTGTCATCAGGGTCTCCCTGCATACGGTGCCGGGCCAGGTCCTTTCGTGAGTACCACTTGCGTTCATATGTGAAGATCTGCAGAGAATGGGGGGCTGGGCACAGGGTGGGAGTTACCAGGCTTCCTACTTTTCTTACCATCTGGCAATGGGATGGCAAGGACAACAGGGCCCTGCTTGGTATCAGCTCTGCCCCAAGGCCCTGAGTGGCAAGTGCCAGAAGTCTGACAGACTCAAGCACCTACCAGAAACCCCTCCCTGCCACAGCTACCAGCAGCCTGATGCTCTGTGGGAACCAGATGGGTTTTGGGGGCCAAGACATGTGCAGTCAGAGGCATAGGCTAAACTCAAGTAGCTACCTGGCTGCTGCCCAGGACTACAGCCCACCCATCTTCCCCACTCCATTCCCAGGGCAGACGCACCTTGAGGTGCTTCAGGCACAACTTGCAGCAGAAGAGCTCATGCTGCTTCCGCATGTGCTGCTCCAGGTCCCCGAAGAGGCCGAAGGGCGGCAATTGGGGGCACTGTGGGCACTCATGCTGCAGCAGCTGCCTGGGGAAACATTAGAACCTTGCTGACCAGACTCTTATCCAGGAGTCTGACATCAAGTTAGGCAAATAATGACTTTTTTTTATGTGGCACTGGGGATTGAACCCAGGGCCTTCATACTGAACTATATCCCCAAATCTTTATAAAAAAAATTAAGACAGAGTGCCACTGAGTTGCTAAGTTGTCCAGGTCTGGCTCAAACTTGAATTTCTCCTGCTTCACTCTCCCAGGGTGCTGAAATTATAGGTGAGTGCCATAATGCATAGGGAGAAAATAGTGCTCAGGGGCTGGGGTCCAAGGCTGGAAACTGTCCATAATAGCTGCACCTTTTACTGAGTTTTACAGTCATAGCTAAGAATCTACCTGCATATGCTCTCATGCCCCTCAAAGACAGAAGAGGCTGTCTATCTCTGTCTTCTCCACTGCCACCCTAGACAGGGGGACTGGAAGCTTCCCACCACAAGGAACCTAGGTCCAGGAAGAGAGGTAACTGGCTTAATATCAGATAGCTGATCCTCAAGGGAATGGGCTCTGACACTAGCCACACCCTGAAGGTCCCCCTGTCCCCTCAGGGGTGTGAAGGGTATGGGAGGTAACAGGGACATCCCCCCCACATCCTATAAAGGACCCCACAGACATAGAACAGCTGAGATCCTCCAGACTAAGGCTCCCTCACCTGTACAATGCAAACACCTTTCCATCTGCAAAGTAGATGTCATACTTCTTCTCATGCTGCAGCTGATGGATGGGTATAGTGGCAAAGGCAGGAAGCTTTTTCCCGAAGACCACCTGGATCCAAAAGCAAGACTCAGTAGTGAGCAGGACCTGTGTGTCCATCCAAGAGTGCAGCAGAGACGGAGAAGCGGGGGACACTCAAGGTAAGCAGCAGCCACAGTTCCTGGGCTGTTCTACGCTGCCTCTCCTCATCCCAAGCTACCCACTGGAGCTGCAGGGACAGACACGATACGCACACTCTCCACTAGGGGGCAGCCGTGCATACCACCAGGCTCTTAGCAGTCACCTTTGGCTGTCACCCAGCACCACCCTAGAGGGACAGGGACCAAACTGAAGGTAGGAATATAGATTGCTCACAGAAGAGTTTTCACAGGAAGCAGGGAAGGACATGTTAATAAGCAACAGCTAAAGAAATAACAAATGCTGCCAGGCTCAGATGCATGAGGTGATCTATTGTCAAGACCTGACCATCTATTATCCAGTACTCCCCCCACCATTTCCATAATGCCATGGAAGACAGGGCTCCAACAGCTCCTGCATGCTACTATGGGTTGTATGGGACCCAGAGATGAACTGTGCAGGCCCACAGGCACCACGATGAAACCTCTGTAGTAGAGCCATGCCTCAAGGGTCAAAGGACCCTTCTCTCTGTTCCTTCCTTTAAGGGCGTGGGCATGGGTGTCAGCCTATTCTGTCCTTTCACAGAATCTGAGCAGCAGACTACGATCAGATGATGAAACCCCTGCACCAATTCCCTCATAGCAGCCTGGGTCTTTACAAATTCAGGACTCTTCTCTCTCCAAGGTTCCTTTCTCTTTCCATGAGGATTCTCAGCATTTCACTTCACAGTGACTCCGGCCTCCACACCCCTCCCCAGATCAAGCCTACCCCTCACTCCCTCCTCTCTGTCCCTGCCCCCAAAGTCTAGCACTAGTCATACATGGCAGCTCAGCTCTGAAAGCTGCTCTACGGCCTTCACAACACATACAGAAAAGCATTCCTTGGGAAAGATCACATTGTCACCTTTGTAAAGTCTACGCTTAGCCAAGGATTTTTGGGACAAGTATGGATTTGAACTTGGGCAAGCTAAGGACTAGCCAGAGAGAAAAAATGAGCCCTAGACATGCTCATGGCCACACATGTCCCCAACAGCAGAGTGACTAAAGCTGGTTCCTTTTCAGGATATGGGGCAAGTCAGAAGAAATCAGCTTTGCTTCTGCCATGAAGAGAGGACACCAAGACTGTGTTTAACCCCACCCATATCAGGAGCTGCTGTGGTCCAGCTATACCCATGGTGGTGGGGGGTGGGTAGGAGATGACCAGTGGCCCAGCAGTCTTTTCTCTCCCTTGTCACATCTGGGAAGGCTGGGCAGGATAACTTTATAACCTGACTTTGTCCTCTGCTACACAATGAATGACAAACTTATTGGCAATGTACTCCCAACACTCTTTAAGTAAAGGTGCAACTCTACTTCAGAGATCCAAATCACAAAAGCTGTGATCATGGCAGGGTCTCATTCTGTGGGACTCTGGCTTCCTCCCTAGCAGCTTCTCCTCATGCCCCCCCACATAAGCAGAGTCTTTGGGCTTGTGATGGCCTTTTCTTGTATGACCTGCCCTTCTGTGGCTCATACCCAGCTCTGCTTTCCAGGAGCTGCTAGGGTACCTCTCTAGCTCAGCCCCAGGCAGGTACATGAGGCCATAAACCACTTTGGATGCTGTCAGAACACAGAGCACAAGATCCATGAAATGCCAGCAAGGACTCTGCATTAAGCAGGACCACACCCTATTTAGCTTCTCTGAAGCAACACAGGCAACAGATCAAGGAGCCCAGTGTTGCTGACAAGGCAGCCAGAAGAGCAGTGCAAGGAAACTCCACAAGGCTGCCAAAAAAGCATCCAAGCCCAACAGACGCAGCAGAGGAACAACTTCCTTCCTCAGAGGAAACCTGCGCCAGGGACGCCCCCATCACTGCCACAACTCCAGCACCCTCCTCAGCTGTGCACTCAGATCCACCCTGGGTGGCATCTTAGGACGCCACACAAGAGGCCCATCTGTTCCCAGGCTGTGGGCACCTCTCCTGGGTAGCTAGTCTCCACTGCTGTCTCTCCAGGATGCTGCTTCTGTTCAGATCGTGCCAAGCCAAGTTGAAGGCCAGTCTGTCCTTGCCATACTGGGTCCTGCCGCATCCATGCCCCAACCACAACAGCATACTGCATGCTCACAAAACATCTCTGTGCATAGCCTGAGGTCAGAAACAGCTATGGGAGAAGAAGAAGCAGGCAGGTAACACAGTAGCCTGTGATGAGGTGGGATCAGGAGCCAAAAGTGTCTCACATGAGTGCCTTGTGCCATCAGGGCCTCAGCATCATGAAGCACAGGCAGTGGAGGTAGGGGCAGGTGTCAAGGGGCCACTGATTTGAGACTAGACAAAGAGTCTATCTGAACAGCAGGAAGAGGCATGTACCCTAAAGGACAAAGGCTCAAGCACATTCATCTTCTGAGCAACCCAGTAGGAATGGCCCAGGTGGGGCACACCTAAGCCAGCGTGAGAAATAGGAAGGACGGCCTGGATGAGCTCATGAAGGGATCAGAACTATGGGAAAAGGCTTAGGAAAGGGCAGAGACAATGCAGGTCCAAGGGGAAATGGGTTCTCCTACGTGAGCCATAGAGACATCCAGGTCAGTTTCCAAGAGACCGAGAGACAGAGAGGAGTGCGGCCTACCCAGGAAGCAAAGCGCCCCCCCCCATCAGCCTCTATAAAGACTAATGTGGGTGTTTCTGGGGGCCTTGGTGCTCCCTACTTTCAACATGTAGTGGGCATTCAATAAAGAGTAAACACTTTGTAGCCAGCCTGGGCTACAAAGTGAGCTCAAGACCAGTGTGAACCATATAGTGAAACCCTGCCTAAAAAAAAAAAAAAAAAAAAAAAAGAGTACAGAGTGACAGGTAAAACAAGCACCAGCAAGAAAGAAAGGCTGAAGGTCAGGCCTGGGGAAAGGAAGGTCCCAGGTGTGGAGAAGGACGTACTGTGTAGGTGCATCTCTAGGACTCATTCTCACCACACAGATGGGAGCGAAAACAAAGATAACCTTCAGAGACTGAGGCAAGTCGCATGGTGACATGGTAGAATATTAACGATAGAAATATAACTTGAATCATCAGGTCCAGCCCACTGACCTGGGCCTTGGGGTAACTCTAGGCTGTCATTTCTTCCCTCCTACTTTCTTCTGCCCATGAGACAGGAGTGTGGCTGCACTGGGTGCCCTGCAGTCCCCTTGGGACTCTTGCAACAAACCAAGGACATGTCAAGATCAGCAAGACCCGAACAGGAGAAAAAATGGTCCATGAGATGCATCTAGAGGAAAATGGAGGAGGGTGTAACACTCCAGGGTCTGATGGGCCATGTCTAGGAAATGCAGTGCATCTGTTACCCTCCCATCAGATGGAGCCATTTCAGCTTCTGCCCTGTGCACCTGCTGCAAAGTCCAACTTCACCTGGTTCTCAGCCTAACCAGCAGCTGCAGAGTTGTACTGTGCTCACTCCCTGCCAGTCCTAGCCCCAACCCTGGGCTGGCACAAGGAAGGTCAAGGTATACAGAATTAACCAGAAAATGAAGTCTGCCCGTTCCACACAGCATGCTGGCACTCTTTTCTCTTAATTTTCACAGACTCAGTCCTGTAAGGAAAGACAAAGCAGGAGCAGAGTTCAGGGGCTGAGGGCCACTGTGGGATTCCTGGGTGTTTATGAGACACAAGGCATATTCAGAATGTAACACAGGGCTCAGCAAAGGAAAAGAAGGGCTAAGATGAACCTACAAATACAGGTTAGAAGAAGACCAAGCTGAGCATGGTGGTGCATGTCTATCATCCCAGCACTTAGGAGGAAGGCATAGGATCGCTGCGAGTTTGAGGTCAGCTTGGGCAACATAGTGAGTTCAAGGCCAGCCTGAACTACATAGCAAGACTCTGTCTCACACAAAAACAAAAACACAAAACAAAACCACAAAGCTGATCTGGCAGCAGCATCTTACCCAACAGCAAATTTCCCAGGACCCCTGCTACTACTGCTGCCTAGCATTGCAGAGCAAGCCAAAAAGGAAGTCCTGGCTTACTGAGGGCCATCCAGTGCCAAACAACAAAGCAGCTAGGGTCTGTTGACAGCTTACGTCAGCGCTCCAGACACAGAAGTTCTGAAAGTTGTGGGTCCCACAACGAATTGGTAGATGCTGGCTACAGTAAGAATGCATGAGTATTCACTCACTTCCTGAGCGAAACTGAAAGCCAGGAGTAGGACCTCCAATTCAAAGACCTCCACAGTGCCTTTCTGCTTCAAAGAAGCTACAGTTGTGCTAGAAAATCTGCCCATTACACACTTGCATCACTGGCCTGCAAAGCAGGTTCCTACAAGTCCAGGAGGTGCCCTCTGAGTAAGCAGAGGGCAAAACATTTCCCCAACTGTTCCTACACCCCAGAACTCTCCCAGTGTAGGTCCACCTCCTTCCACATTATAGACTAACACCATCTCCAAATGTTTTTTTCCAATAGGGCACAGAGCAGATAGATGCCCAGGTAACACTCTAGGATTCCAATCAGGATACTTTGGACCCTTTCACATGTCTTCTCAAAAATTTAAAAGAACCTATTTCTCAATTGCTGTCTCTGCTTCACTTCTAAAGAGAGGAAATTCAGACTCCCTGACAGATGCCATCAGTAGAAACCTTCCATGGTGCGAAAAACAAAAAACTCACCACCAAAAAACATTTTTAAAAATCGGGGATTTCACAATTTGGGAAGTAAATAATCTCTAAGGGCAGTAAACCAAAGGACGTCCAGCAGGATGCCCCAGGCTAGCTGGTGGCATGGCTGGGAATGTGGAGGAAAGCTCTATATGCCCTCTGACCTCTCCAGGGCCTCTAAATCTACAGGGTCAGAAACGTGCCCTCTCCACTCTGGAAGAAAGAAACCCAAAGCTGGAACTAGAAAGGAAGAGAAAAACTTCCTAACACTTCTGTCCTCACCGGGCAAGCACCCAGAAGAGTCAGGTCCGAGTGCCACCTCCACTCTACAAAGGAACACGCCTGTTTTAGGAGTTATTTCAGTCCACAGAGGCACCCAGAAACCCAGCTACTGTGGACACACACACATTTAACCCTCTCCAGAGCAGCCGGCCTCTGGTGGTTACCGTCTGTCTCCTCCATCCCAGTGGGGACCTGGAGGAATGAGCCATCACTTCTAGAGAGGTAGGTCTGAGAGTCCCCGATTTGACTCTGTCCCATTCTGTGACCGGGCCGCCGGGGAAAGTCCCCAAGCTCGGTCCTTTTCGGCCAGCCTGGCCGCCTCCGGCCTCCCCCGACTCCACCCAGGCGGTCCCCGGGCGTCTTCTCGGCGCCGATGGCAGCAAGGCCAAACCTCAGCGCCAGCCGCACCCGAGCCCAGCGTCCCGCCGCCGGCGCACCTGGCGCAGTTCCTCGCGGCACACGGCGCAGTAGCGCTGCTCACACAGCACCCGCATCTTGGTCGAGCAGCGGTAGCACACCGGGTGGTCGCAGCGGCCCAGAGCCGTGGCCTCCAGATCTCCGCAGCACAGCACGCAGCTCCCACCGCCCCGCTCCGGAGGCGCCACCACCATCGCCTCCAGGGTCGCGCGCCGCCCCTCGGCGCCCACCGCCGCCGCCATGGCACCGCTCCGGCCCCCACCCGGGCGGCGCGGTGCGGCCTAGCTCCCCACGTGCCCGCCCCTTCCGGGTGACGTCAGGGCCCCGCCCGGCAACCGCTCCGCCCGGCGGAAATGCGTGTGGCGACTTCCGCCCGGCTGGGCACTCTTTCTCTGGCTGCTTGCAGGGTCGTACGGTCTCTGGGAGGAGGTCGTCCTGGAACCACATCTGAGTGGCAGTTGTCTCCTTGGGTGCTTATGTCTAGGTATGCTAGAGGAAATACTGGGAGCCTACTGTATTTCCAATGAACCGTGAAAGTATCACTCAAAAGCCGGGGATTTAGCTCAGCAGCCTAAACGCCTGCCTGGCAAGTGCGAGGTCGCGAGTTCAATCCCCGGTACAAAAAAAAAAAAAAGAAAGAAAGTATCACTCTAAAACACACTAAATTTTTATTCTTTACCAGAAATACAAATTTAACTGCATCTCGGGTCTTTGTGTGAGAGTGTGTGTGTGTGTTTCCGGGAGTGGGAATTGAATTCAGAGTGTTTGCATGGCGCTGCATACCCAGACCTTTTAAAGTTTTGAACCCGAATCTTGCTGTATCGCTAAATTGCCCAGGCTGGGCCCAAGCTTGCAGTCCTCCTGTATCAACCTTGCAGAATGCAGGGTTGATCACTATGCCCAGCTGTCATTCTCCCTGCTCCCAGCTTTCAAACCAGGGCCAGATCTCTACTGAAAAGTTTATGACAGCCTTGATTACTCCTTGTGGAAAAAGGAACCGCATGTCATGGCCTGGTAGCACAACCCAGCCAGCTCTTTGGCACGGAGGAGCACAAGTGCTGATTCAGAGTACAAAGGCATGTGAATGGAATGGATGGTGTTAAGTCCTAGGGCTTCAAGTCTCTGCAGTTGTTAGGAACTCTCTTCACCTTTGCCATGAAGGGAGGATAGTTCCAACCTGAAGCTTCTAGAAAAAAGGCAAAGTATTGAGGGCAAGCTGAACCAATACTTCACTACAGACTTGGTACTCCATTTCTGCCATTTATTTGCTGATAACCTTGGTCGGCTTACTGAAGCCCTTAACATACTCATCTGTGAAACAGATCACCACAAATTAAACCAGGTGGGCTGCCTGCATGTAGATGTCATCTCATTTTCACAAAAACGCACTAAAAGGATAGCAAAGCAGCTTAAATAGCTATTAAAAAATCCAGCAGCACAAAGAATGGAAAGGGAGAGCAGCTAATGAAAGAAATAAATTTTAGACTGACAGGAAATGAAGGATGGTGACTCATTTTACTGAGCATCCTACAGTCCTCTGGGGAACCTGATGAAAAGTTTCAGAACGAACACAGCGTGGGCTGAAGTGGTTGTACCTTAGTGTGTGGAAGCTTATGCACTGAACTGAGGTCTGGGCTCTCCTCCCAGCCTGGTTCCTATACCCATTCCACCTACCTTCAGCCAAAGATTGGAGGATTTTTCACTGGAGAAACTGGTTCCATCCTGTTAGAGAATGGAAAACTGCCTGCTGTCCACTTCTTTTTTTTTTTTTTTTTTGTCTTTTTCCTTTTCATTGATACCAGGGATCAAACTCATGACTGCCTGCTTGCAAGGCAGGCGCTTATGCCTGCTGAGCTAAATCCTCAGCCCCTCTGCTGTCCACTTCTACAGCGATGCCTACCGTTCTGCAAATCTTGCACCAACAAAACTTCCACTGTACTCTGTGAGGAGTCTTGTTATAAATACAGACAGGCCACCTAGGCCTTGCAAACTCATGAGGAATGCAAACTGGAAAACAGACCCAGAGAGCCAAAAGAAACCTTATAGAGAACTATTGTAGGGCTGATGATGTAGCTCAATGGTAGAGTACTTGCCTAGGATGTCCCTTGGTTTGATCCCAAGCAGTGTGTGTGTGTGTGTTCTAAAAAAAAAAAAAAAAAAAAAAAGTTGTAGTGGATTTATAATGCTGAAACACTGGAAACAGTTTCCTGAATCCAGGGCCAGGGGTTTAGCTCACTGACATAATTGCCTGCGAGGCAAGCGCAGGGTTGCAAGTTCAATCCCTGATACCAGAAAAAAAAAAAAAAAACCAAAATTTCCTGAATCCACAGAGTGTTTGCTTCTCCAAAATTAGAGGGGATCTGGGTTCTAGTAAACCAACTCCAACCCAGATGCTATCAGTAAGTATGGGATGATGCCTGTGGAGAGGCTGAGAATGGAGGTCCAGACTAGGGCAGGAGGCTGCCAACTGACAGGGTTTTATCTCCAGAGTAGATATAGAACTGATCCTCATGCTTGGAAATGCAAAATTACTGCAAAATATACACAAAAAGAACCTATAGAGCTGTACTTCAGTGGCAGAGTAATTGCCTGGCATGAATGAGGCCTGGGTTTAACCTCGAGTATCTCAAAAATAAATAAATAAAATAATTTTTAAGGGCTGGGGATTTAGCTCAGTGGTATAAGCACCTGCCTTGAAAGCAGACAGTACTGAGTTTGATCCCTGGTACCAGTAAAAACGAAAAAGCCAAAAAAAAAAAAATAATAATAATAATAAAAAATAATTTTTAAAAAGGAAAGCCTGGGTCGGGAATTTAGCTCAGCAGTACAAATGCCTGCCTGGCAAGATCAAGGTCATGAGTTGATCCCCAGTATCAAAAAATAAATAAATAATAAAGAAAGCCTGAAATATACATTTATACATGTATGTATATATCAAGAAAAATAATTAGGAAATTCTCAGAAAGGAAATGCAAACAGTACCCAGATTGGCTCACCAGGGAATATTTACATAGAATGTATTTATTGTTTCTGGGTTTTTTTTGTTTTGTTTTGTTTTTTGAGATAGGGTCTTGTTATGTAGTTCAGGCTGACCTTAAATGCAGTATGTAGTCTAGGCTGGCCTTGAACTCAGGGCAATCCCCCTGCCCCAGCTTCCTGAGTACTGGAATTACAGTTGTATGCCACCATACCTAGCTGTTTCTCTTTTTTTGAGACAGTATCTCACTATGTAGTCCTGGCTGCCCTTAACTTTCCCAGGTAGTCTAACCTGGCTTTGAATATGGCAATCCTCCTGCCTTAGCCTTCCTAGTGGTAGGACTACAACCACCATGAACCACCATGCCCTGCCCTGCATCATAATATTAATAGTGTTACTAAATAATATGTAGATACTAATTATTTAATTAAAAATTATGATAAAATCATATTAGGAAGATGGGAGAGGAAGAGGGAGGGGAAGCACAGCGATTGAGTTGGGAGAGAAAAATATCATCCTAGTAGGAAGTCATTTGATGTTGCCTAAAACAAATAAAAAACAGTTTATAACCTAGGTCAGTGGTTCTCAAGCAAGACTAATATTGCCTCAGCTCCTCAGGAGACTTCCAGAAATCTCTGAACAGGTTTTTGGTCACAGAGGAGAGGGAGTTAATGACATCTAATGGTGTATTAGTTTCCTATGGCTGCTGTAAAAAATTACCACAAATTTAGTGATTTAAAATAACGCAGATTTGTTTCTTATACTTCTAGATCTCAGAAGTCCCATAGGGTAAAAATGTCAGTGTCCAGAGCACTGTGTTGCCTTTGGGAGAGTCTTGGGATGCTAGGCAGAACCTGCTCCTACTTTGCCTTTCAAGCTGCTACAGGCCCCCCATATTCAGTGGCTTTCAGTCTCTGCTTCCGTTTCCATCACATTTCTTCCCCAGCCTTCTGCCACCCTTATGAACCTTTGTGAGCACATTGGGTCTACCTGGGTAATTGTGGCACTTCTGTTGATATTAAGATCAGCTGATTAGCAATGCATTTTGTAACTGGTTGTGGTGGTACATGCCTGTAATTCCAGCACGCAGGAGACTGAAGCAGGAGGTATCACTACAAAGTGAAGTAAGCTCAAGCCCAAACTGAACTGCAGAGTAAGACGCTGTCTCAAAAAGACAAAAAAAAAAAAAAAAAGCTATGCTTTTTGTTTTGGTTTGGCCTTATTTTCTTGTTTGTTTATTTACTTTTTTTTTTCTTTTTGAGACAGAGTCTCACTGTGCAGTTCAGGCTGGCCTTGAACTCACTATGTAGCCCAGGTGTGACTTCAGACTCAAGGCAAGTCGTCTTGTCTCAGCCTCCCAAGTGCTGGGATTATAGGCGTGCACCACCATGCCCACAAAACAATGTCATATGTAGTCTTAGTTCCCTCTTACTATGCTGCATAAATATACAGAGTTGCAGGAAATGGGATGAACATTGTGATGGGGAGTGTCATTCTGCCCACACACATGGGTGGAGCCCAAGAATGCTGTAAACATTCTGCATTGCCAGGAAAGACCCTGCCATAGTTAATTGTGATGTCAATTTGAATAAGAAATGCCTCACAGATTAGTTTTAGTACAGTTGGGAGTCTGCATGATGGATTTACTGAAGAAGGAAGACCCACTATGTATGTGGGTGGCACCAACCAACAAGCTTGTACTCTGGATGAAATAAAACGGGAAAAGAAGTAAGTCTCACTTTGTCTTCAGAAGAGCTCCAGTTTTTATCACCGTTGGATATCTATCTATGCTTTCAGTGAAGGCTGTTCAGCTTTCCAGTACATATTCTTACATTCTCCAGGGTTTTTTTGTTTTTTGTTTTTTTTGTACCTGGGGTCAAACTCATGACCTTGAACTTGCCAAGAAGGCACTTATGCCGATGAGCTAAACCTCTGGTCCCTATTCTTTAGTTTTCCAACACAGACACTTGAGCTTCCCAATACTGACTTTTGCACAGGACTCTGCAAGGAGCCCCAGGTCTTCAACTTTTGACCAGATTCTCCAGTTCTCTAGCCTCAGATGACCCTTTTGCATTCTTCTACCTCTGACTCTGCAGACCATTGTAGGTCTACCTTGTAAACCTTTTATATATCATATATACATTATATTAAATCTGTTATTCTAGTGAACTCTGATACAGACCCTCAGATGCCAACAGTGCTGAGCTCAAGGGTTTCTGACCTAAGGTGTTAATGAGTTATGCTGGGTTCTGGTTGGAGGTGGCAATGGGAGATGGGAATTTTTTCTATCTTGTTCTGGGTTTTGAGCACACAGGTGTACACATATATAACATGCAAATTGTTTTTTGTTTTAGGAATTGAACTCAGGGCCACATGCTTGCCATGCAGGTACTTTACCACTGTACTACATCCTTGGCCCTTGTAACGTGCACGTGTTAAGATGTGGTGGCCTCTTTGGACAACCATTTAAAAAATAGCATTTAATTTATGATTTGAAAATATGGAAATAAGTACTAGAAGAGACAGGTGAAAGTGTTAGAGTCAGTGTCTTTTGGAGAGAAGACTGTACAAGGCTGACACAGAGAAAGCTTTTCCCCTGTATAGTGGCATGAGATTTACAAAGTATCATACCTATATAAAAATAATTAAGGGCCAGTGATATAGCTCAGTGATACAGTGTCTGCTTGACAAGAACAAAATCCTGAGCTTTATTCCTGGTAGAAAAAAAATTAAGACGGATATGGTGGTATATCCCTGTAATCCCTACTACTCTGGAGGCTAAGGCAGGAGAGTCACAAGTTGTAGGTCAATCTGGGCAATTTAGCAAGACCTTGTCTTAAAATGTAAAAATAAAGGGGGCTGGGTATGTAGCTCAGTAATAGAGTACATGCCTAGCATGCACGAGCCCTGGATTCAGTCCTCAGCACCACAAAAATAAATAAGAACAAAAATGACAAAGAAATGTATACATTTACTGCATGCTTACTATAGAGATCCTGTTCAAGGTCAGGGCCTATGCAAAGCCCTATCCATGACTAACTGGTTTCTAAAGAGGAGCTGTTGGAAAAATGAGAGATGAGCCCCAGGAAGAAGGGACAGCTTCCATGGGTTACTAGGCCTATCTTTGGAGCCTCCTACTTACCCCAATGGAGCTTTGGCTCCTGCCCCCTAAGGCTTTGTCACTACGCACCCTGAACTCCAGAAGAGACAGGGCACAAAGCCCTTCTCAAACTGGAGGCACGATCCTATGCTTTGTTTTCCTGATCCAGCCCTCCTTTCCACACCCCCAGCTGATGGGCATTCCCTTCCTCTCTGCCAATTCAGCCTATACCCTTGCCCTGTACCCTGATATCTTCATTTCCTGAGGCCATATAGTCATAAACAAGATATGGGAACCTGCCGCCATTAATTAAGCCTCAAGAAGTGGTAGCTTCTCCCTTTCTGAACCACTATGTTTTTGAAATTTATCCATCCTCTACTTCAATTTTCCAATTGCCAATGGACCCCAGCATAAACAATTATTGTCACATTGTTTTGTATTCCCCAGGCTACCTCTAAGAGACACCTGAGGTCCTCCCCAGCAGAACTGCAGTCCCCTGGCAGTCCTTGATCCAGAGTGGGCGATACCACTAGAGAACCCTGACAGTCTGGCTCTGGTCTGCACCACTCGCCCACCACGTACTCTACATGATTCTTAAGGCCTTGGAGCCTCAGGGGAGCAGTGTGGGGGCAGCTTGTGGTAACCCAGTCCCAGTGGTCCTCCGGGTTCCACAGTGGCAGGCAGATTTTTCTACATTCCCTGCTTGTACCTCCATTTTAGTTTTTCTCCTGACATTTTGGGGGTTGGTCAGCCTCTGCAACAGCAACAGTCCTAGCTACAAGCATTTATTGAACATCTACTGGGTACCAAGCCCCATGAGTGGATTATTAATGAAACAAGGTGACTAGGTAAACCGGGCGTGGTGGCTCATGCCTGTAATCGCAGCACTTGGGAGGCTGAGGCAGGAGGATCATTGCGAGTTCGAGACCAGCCTGGGCTACAAAGTGAGCTCAAGTCCAGCCTGAACTGCATAGCCAGAACCTGTCTCAAAAAGACAAAAGAAAAAAAGAGATGACAAGGTAGCCACTATTACTATTCCCAGTTTCAAAGGAGTAAACTGTGGCAGGAAGGTTGTGGCACTTTACCCTCCCCATGCAAACACACAATCAAGCCTGAGATAGACTTGAATCCAGCCACCAGCCTCCAGGGCCAGATTCTAGCTGCTATTCAAGAACTGCTTGTTGCTGGTTGTAATCTTCAGAGGCTTGCCAGGCCCCCAGTACCTCTCTGGCTCCAAGAGTAGGTCTTTTTTGTCCTCTCTACCCTTTGTGCCCCCAGAGACAGGCATGTCTCATTCCCCAACCTGAGGCTTTCTGATAGGGATCTGATTGCACCTCATTCCCAAACTGTGGTGTAGCAGGGATCCACGGTCAAGAGAAAGGTAATTAGGGAGTTGTCAGAGCTGGGTAGGGGCTGAGGGTGCTCTTTATATGCTGGAGGCCTTAGGAGAACCACTGATCCTTTCAGGGAGTGCTCAAGGTGGCCAAACCTGGGGTTTCCAAGCATCCATTCTGCTACAACTGAGAAATCGGTTGGTGGGACAGTTCTTGAGGATGAACCACACTGCGTTCTTGAATGGTATCCAGGGTTCCAATTAAAACTCACTGTAACTGGGCCAGCCTCCTCCTCTTGGCTCTGCTGGTGTTCCACTTGCAGAACCTTAGGACAAGGGGGTACCCCCTCCCATCCTGGGCCCTAAGGTCAGTGGTCCTAGGTCCTGGCAGCTCCACTGGAAAAGCAGGGGAAGCAGGGATGGTCCCAGTGGGGCCACAAAAGCAGTTCTAGCCAGCCGCTATTCCACAAGATTCTCCTAGCGGCTCCCGCCCCTAGCCCAGTAGGTACTGTGGGGGCGGGCTAGGGCGGGGCCACCGAGCAAGCAGTTATAGTCGGACCGCGGAAGACCAACTACTGACCTCCATCCTGAGCTCGCTTCTGGACGACCAGATCGACCAGGTCCGCCGCCTTGCGTGCAGATCAAAAGGAACCAGTTGGTGACCCGCCCCGCCGGGCGGCCGTGGACGTGAGCGCCCTGGCGCGGAGCCGGGTGGTGCGGGCCCCGGGCCGGGGGGTTCCTGGGGACCGGTGGCTGCTTGGGATGCTGCTCTTTCTGCTCCTGCTGCCGCCGCCCGCGGACGCCTGGTACAAGCACGTGGCGAGTCCCCGCTATCACACGGTGGGCCGCGCCGCCGGTCTGCTCATGGGGCTGCGCCGCTCGCCCTACCTGTGGCGCCGCGCGCTACGCCCGGCCTCCAGTCCCCTGGCCTGGGACACCCTGGCTCCTGGGTCTGCAGATCGCAACGCCCTCCTCCTGCTTCCCTCGGGGATACGGGAGCTGCGGGAGGCGCGTCGCCGGAGCCCGGGAGCAGGGCTCATGGCCCGTGCCCCTCGGAGTCTGCGTGCCTCGGAGCTCGAGCCGAGGCTGGGCATCCAACCCTGGACCTCAGCGGTGACTGCCAGGTAAGTGGGGTATGTGTGTGGAGGAGAAGCATCCACGACGGCAGGAGGCAAGAGGGTCTTGGAAATCTGATAGAAATGTGATCTGGCATCCCCACCCCCTAGCCTGCTGCGTCTGTGTTCCCCTACTGGGCTTTGAGGAAAGCTTTCCATGGCAGTACTCTGCTCTTAAAGCCTGGGGGGCAGCGATCAGCCCCCTTTCCAGAGTCCTGATGTGTTTTCTAGAGCCTTTGGAGAGACGTCTTCTACTTCGACCCAGCCACGGTCCCTGGAGCAAATGACCTTCGCCAGCCCCACTTGGCTCCAGGACCTCCCTGAGAACATTCACTATCCGCGTCGGCCCTGCATGTGAACCAGGAGCTGACTCAGGAGTGGTCGCTGTTTGTAGGACGCACAGCTCCGGGTTCCTGCCAGATTCGGTGTTCTGGTCAATAAAACCAGCTTGATTTCTGCGCCTCCGCGTATGACCCTTTTCCTCTCCGATGTGTACTTAGCATCTTCCTTCAGGGCCAACACAGCGCGCCCACGCCCTGGCAAATGTCAAGAGCCCCTTTACCAGTCAAAGTTAGCAGTGGTAGTGGCAGATACAGCAATCTTTGTCCTTGTTGAGCAGATTGGGGAGCAAGGCAAAGACGCTGCTGGGGTCTAGTTTCCTTCCTCTACCAGAGATTCCCCTTCTGTTTAGGAGTGGGCCATTGGACTAGATACTAGGGACTGCTGACCTATCCTATGAACACCTTCGGGGAAAGGGGCAAGACAAATCCCATGTCCCTCCCTATCTGCCGAAGTATAGGAGAAGGTGAACCTAGATTGAGGGCTCAGTTTCCAACATAGGCAAGAGATCCAAGTTTTAGTCTACCTCCCAGCATCAATTTTAACCTTGAAACCCCTTGCTTCCCTCAGCCAAAGGCTTCTGGAGTTAGTAAGATCATTTCTTACCTCTGTGCTCGCCTCTAGGAAAGAAGGCCCCTCACCTGAGTACCTCATGCCTCAAGGAAACCTGCCACCATTTAGGGCCTTTGCATTTGCAGTCATTGGTCAAGCCTCAACATAAATGTGCTCTGCCATCTTGAATTAAGGATTTCACTGCCCAAGTGTCTGGGTCCTTCTAGTCTCCTGCTTATGCTTCATGGATGCAGGGTTTTGTTTTTGTTGTTGTTTTGCTTTGTTTTTGTGGTAGTGGTGATGGTAGGAGTTGGACCCAGGGCCTCATACATGCTGGACAAGAGATTTACCCCTGACTTGTACCCCTGCATTTCAACCGAATCAGTCTGACCTCTGATTTCCACAATGGCCCAGGTTCCTCAAGCTTCGTGGATCACTGTACCCTGGTGCTATCTGCCCTCAGAGCCTTCTTTTGGATGTGTTGTGGGGTTTTCCTTGGGACCACCCGGCAAGGGCTGGCTTCAGCTGTAGCACCCCATTCTGACAGTTTATTCTTCTTTTTTTTTTTTAATCGGTATCAGGGATTGAACTCACGACTGCCTGCTTGCAAGGCGTAGGCGTTTATGCCGCTGAGTTAAATCCCCAGCCCCTCTGACAGTTTATTCTGACCCTGGATACATCTCCCTTCTCCCATCTTGGACCTTAAGTGTAGTTGCTACTTTTTATTCCATCCCCCTCAATTCTTATGATTTCCTAAATTTATTCCCTTGATTTTACCCAGCTCTTTTTCAGGTTCTAAACTGGGAGAAAAGGAGTTCATGAACTGCTCAAGTGGATCCATTCTCCCTCCAAGATCACTCCATTCCTGCCCCTTCTCCTCATCAAACCTGACCTTTTTTTTTTTTTTTTTTTTTTTTTTTTTTGTCTTTTTCCTTTTTATTGGTACCGGGGATCGAACTCATGACTGCCTGCTTTCAAGGCAGGCACTTATGCCGCTGAGCTAAACTCCCAGCCCCCAAACCTGACTTTTTAACACAGGTATCACCAGGCATGTTAGTACACACCTATAATCCCAGGACTCTGGAGGGTGAGGCAGGAGGCTCATCAAAACTTTGAGGCCATTTTGTTGTTACATAGTTCAAAACCAGGCTAAACTACATAGCAGAGACCTTGTTCAAAAAACAAAACAGCCTGGGCATGGTGATAGATACCTATAATCCCAGGACTCTGGAGGCTGCAGCAGGAGGACTGCTGAGAGTTTGAGGGTAGCTGGGCTACAGTAAGTTCAAGGCCAGTCTGAACTGCATAGTGAAACCCTAAAAAAAAAAAAAGGAGGAGGAGAAGAAGCAAAAACTCCAACAACGTTCAAAGTAAGAAACAGAAAAAAAAAAAAAAACTCAAACAACAAGTGAATTTTCTGACCTTGTCACTTCCAGTGCACAATATGATCATAGCCCCCTGCTACATATGGGCCTCCAATGCTTGTCCTCTACCCAGACTCATGGCTCCCTCTTCTTTCCTACCTTTTGCTCTCACTTGCAGGACCTCTGTGCTAAAATTTTTTTTTCTGTGGTACTGGGGATTGAACTCAGAGCTTGCATATGCTAGGCACTCACTCTACCACTGAGCTATACCACCCAGCCCACAAGATTCTTTTTATCTTTTTCTCTTTTTTTTTTTTTTTTTTTTTTTTGAGATGGAGTTTCACTATGAAGTTCAGGCTGGCATTGAACTTACTTTGTAGCTCAGGCTGACCTTGAACTCACAGCAACCCTCCTGCCTTGGTCTCCTGACTGCTGGGATTACAAGCGTGAGCTACCATCCCCGACCTGGGCAAGATTCTTGAGCTATCCAGAGCTTCTACCCTGAAGGATGTTGGCAGGGCCCTAGCTGAGTTAATTGCTTCTCTGAGGGCTGTCCTAACCCTGAGGCTCCCTTGCTCTGTCAAATCCCTATTTTCCTGGGTTGCAGAGATATTTATCCAGTGTTTGCCAGTGCCTGGTGCCAAATGATCTTCAAATATTTGGTCATGAGTGCTGGGACTCTTGGCAAAGAGTCTGGATACACCCTGGCCCAGAGTGGCGGGTACTGGGGTCCAAGGTGAAGAGGCAGAACCAATTAGCAGTTTGGCAGAGGTCAGGCTTCTGTGCCTGACACTCCCCATGGCAGTCGTTTCTGCATAAATGCCTGCAATGTACTGGCCTCATCCCAATACCCACACTGCAGGACTAGATCTGCTTCAAGCCAGATGGAAGAGGCTTGGGGCAACATCCCCCTCAGCCCGTCTCCACCCCACGACGCAATCCACATATTCTCGCCAGGGGGCGCTGCGCGGATGCTTTTACGGGCGGCAGGAAGGACTTCTTCAGCAATGGGAGGGGCCGTGGTAGAGGGGCGGGGCCTGGCGGGAGAGCAAAGCCGCCCCACCCTCCGTGGTTGTCGGATTCCTGCCCCGCCCCCTCTCGCCCGCCCGGGTCCTGTGCTCTAGCTCCCCGCACCTGGGTCCCTAAGAGAGTGCAATCTGAGGGAGGAGAGCCTAAGTGAGTCCTGGTGATGCTCGTGGGGCTATTAGTATCCATTAGGGAGAGGCGGTGGTGCCCAGGACACTCTACGATATTACTGGGATTTATATTCATGGCTCCACCCCCAGAATTCCCAGGCTTCTGCCCACTGCCACGTCTCAGAGCACCCTGCCAAAGTCCAGTCTCCTCCTGAGAGGCGGTGTTGCAGGAAGGTCTGCAGGTTTAATGCTCAGAGAAAAGCCCTCTGCCCTAATCGGGTTGCAAGGGCCAACCCTTATTCTAGGGGAAGGCCTCTGATAGCCTAGAGGAGGTGAGGGCTGAGAGGTGGGATTCACCAGCTCTCTCTGCCACAGAGCACCCCTGTCATTTAGCAAATTGACAGGGTTAGGGTGGGGTGAGAAATGGCCCAACTGCCCGATGACCTGTCTTGACCTTCCTAAGGGCCAGGTTAACCCACTCCTCAAAGAACTAGCAAATATTGGATTTAAATGTCTTGGCAATAAATAAATAAGAACTAGCAAATAAAGCCTACCATCCCTGTGTCATCACCCTAAGGCCTCGTGGGTTCTTTCTCCTATCCCATAATTGGAGACCCTTGCCACTTTCCTGTCCCCACCTCCAGGCCTTTGTTGGTGCCTTTTTGCTTGTCCCCCTCTCAGCTTCCCATCTCAACAGCTTCCTGGCCGACTGAAGTGCCTAGACGGTAATGGAGGAGGCCTGGGAGAATTCACACATGACAACCATGTCACCCTGTGTCTCATTCTGCAACTGTGGGCTCTCCATGCTTATTCTGTCACCTCTCATTTATTCCTGCTACTCCCTGAGAAATAGTGGCCTACTCTTCTCTAGGTGTTTGTCTTTATTCTGTCACTGTTACCTACTCTGCCAGGCACAGGCACCCACTTTCTTTGTTATCCTAAGATGTTGCTTTGTTACTGATACTTTCCCTGATACTTCTTGTTTCCTTTTTCCTTTGGAGACTCCTTTGCTACTCTGTGATTACAGTGTCCTGTGACACATCTTTGATTTCTTGCCCCTGGCTGTGATCACATGTGCCTGTTTATCCTTCTTTCTGGTCACGTTTTGTCCTTGTCCCATCTTAGGTCACCGGGTGAGTAGGTGAACCCTGAGCTGCAGAAGGCCAGGGAGGGCTCAAGTCTGATCTGGAACCTGTCCTACAGAAGAATAAGAGGTCTCCTATGTCCCTATCTTAGGAACTCTGGTCCCTACTTTCCTAATCCCTGGCTTGGTCGATCATCTCCTTCCATTCTAGCCATTAAGTGACTATCTGGCAAGTCTAGATGGTCTTGGTTGCTGCACAATGACCTCCATGGTAAAAATACTGCCCACACCCATCCTCACAGTCTCTGACGGTAGCAGTACCAGGCTGGGGCTAGGGAAACCAGTCACAGGTCAGATAGGCAGCCTATGGATAGGCAGACAGACAAATTGAGGTAGTCATACAGGATAGAGCCTATGACACCATCAATTAGGAATTGCAGAGGGGTTAAGGGTAGGGAGAAGCAGGGGGCTGGAGGTTTAGCTCAGCGGCATAAGCGCCTGTCTTGCAAGCAGGCTGTCGTGAGTTCGATCCCCGGTACTGATAAAAAGGAAAAAGACAAAAAAAAAAAAAAAAAAAAAAAAAAAAAAGGGTAGGGAGAAGCTAAACAGCCTTCACATAAGTGGCTTTTAAGAGTAGCCTTTGGGATATGGGCACCCAAAGGGCTATGCCCCAGAGGTTGCTCAGAGGCAGGCTCAGCCTCTATGTGTGTGTGTATGGGTGGGGTTTGGGAGCCTAGCCAAGCAGACTGGAGAGCTGAGAGAATGAGGCAAAGACTGAGACTAACCTGCCTCTCCGGCCCACATGGGGAACTGTCTAGGCTGGCCATACATAAACTCTAGGAGAAAGGTATGTAAGGTCTGTGGGCTGGGGTAAGCCTGGGACTTGACTATGTTCTTATGCCTGAGAAGCTGCTCCTCCATGAGGTGTGGGCTCACAATGTTGGGCCCAAACCAAGCTGGAGAACCTTTTGTGGCTTCCTTTTCACTGCTGCTTGCAGTTTTCTGATCTGCAAAATACCTTCTCTGCCCCTGTTGTTTAGGTAAAGCACACACAGAGAGGCTTGAGAATTATCAGAGATGCTCCATGTGATTCTTTCTGTTCTCCTGTCAGAGAAGGAACAATCATGCTTGGGAATCATGGTTGGGAAGGCTGGGAAAGGAAGGGAGCAGGCAAGGGGAGAACTGGAGGAGCTTAGTGAATGTGGGGCAGCTGACGTCCTCTATAACTTAGGGGCCAAAGACCTCAGCAAAGTTCATCCTAGGTCAAGAGGAGGTACCAAAGATCCTTCCATTTTAGCTGGACGAAGTCAGGTCCCTAAAGGCAGGGATATGGAAGGCAGCATGGTTAGTGGACCCAAATCCACACCAGGAGGTTCAGGGAGTCTCCCGTCACCAGTCTCCATGATCTAGGGAGGGGATACTGCAATGTAACTTTAAACCTGTCTTTTTGCCTCCTGTACTATCCTGGGACTGCACTGGGCCAAGACAACTCTGGTTGCAGGATGGGATCCAGATTCAGGGACAGCAAAGGGGAACAGGCAGAGGGGATTCTGAGGGGTGGAGAGAGAGAGTTTCTTGATGATGAAATGGGCTGTAGTCCTGGCTGTACCCTGTGGACCCTGCGTGGCATCCCTCAGTCTGGGAACCCATTCTCCTAAGATGCTGTCCATCTCAAGAGCTTGTCTTAATGCAGCGCACACAGGTGTCCAGTAATGTTCCTGCTGTAGAAGGCAAAGGTGCTGTTGCTAGAGAGGATGCCCAAAATGTGGAGTAGAGAAAAGAGGGTCCCAGTGACTCCGCAACTACTTTGGCTGGCAGTCCTCCACTCCCATTTTCCCTGGGCCTGCGGGGCGTTCACGCAGGGGCCTAGCTAGCAGGGTTTGGGTCGGGCTGGGGCAGCCCAGCATCGGGGGCGGAGAAAGGGCGGGCGCGGGGGCGGCGCTGCAGGCCTGGCGGGGCCCGGGCTGGGGCCGGAGCTGCAGCCGGAGCCCGAGGAGATCGAGATCAGAGCAAGCAAAAAGGAGTCTCCAAGGTTGCCGCAGGTCCCTAGTATCCCCGCCTGCGACCCCGCGCTGTGGGCTGCGGTGCGCGCTGTGGGCTGCAGTGGCCGGCCGGGGGGCAGCGGCGCCATGGCCGCGCCGGAGCCGCTGCGGCCGCGCCTGTGCTGTCTGGTGCGTGGCGAGCAAGGCTACGGCTTCCACCTGCATGGCGAGAAAGGCCGCCGTGGGCAGTTCATCAGGCGCGTGGAGCCGGGGTCCCCCGCCGAGGCGGCCGAGTTGCGAGCTGGGGACCGCCTAGTCGAGGTTAACGGCGTCAACGTGGAGAGTGAGACACACCACCAGGTGGGTGCCTGCGCCCCGCCCCGGGCCGGCCTCTCCTCTGGGGTGCAGATGACCCCCTGGCTCACTTAACTCTGCTGGGGCCAGGCGTGTGTGTGTGTGTGTGTGTGTGTGTGTGTGTGTGTGTGTGTGTAGGGGTGGCACACGGTGGCCTGTGTAGGCTCCGTGGCGAAATGAGGATGTGGTCCGGCAGGCTCCTGGCAGGGAAGCCCAGTACCGCACGTGTGTGTGTGTGTGTGTGTGTGTGTGTGTGTGTGTGTGTGTGTGTGTAAGAGAGTATTCCGTCAGGGAGGGGTCACTGCGGCTGTTCTGTCCCTTGGCTCTGGCTCCTGTGCTTTGGTCTCAGTGTAACTGTGTCAGGGTTTGGGCACATTGGGACATCTTGGCACAAATGCTTTCTGTGAGTGTGTGTACACAACTGGAAATGTGTGTGACTGCAGGTCCCTCTGGGGCATCCATATGTGCACATGTCTGCCAGTGTGTAGAGGGAAATGGTCCCAGCAAAATACAAGTGTCTGATATGTGCTGGGTTGTGTGCCTAGGACTGGGTTGGACTCGTCTGCATACATGTCCTGTGTGAGTTGGGCTTTGTATGTGTATGTGTGCACCTGTCTGCATGTCTGGTTATGTGTCCTTGGCAGTGTCTGAAGCCAGTGTACTAATGTGCATTCTACCTGGGTGTGGCAGCACATTCCTTGGCTCCTGAGGTGCCTCTCGTTCCTCTGAGCCTTCCTGCCTGGGCTGGGGTCACTTCAGAAGCCCCTGCCTCTTGCAGCTGGAGGAAGGCCTAGAGAGTGTGCTTTTTCTCTCTGCATCTTCTGCCCCCTGGGGTATCTTGTTCTTTGGCAGCAGACTCACCCCAGATGCTGGCTGAGGTCCAGCCTTTCTCTACCCTTTCTGCTCTAGGTCCCTTGTGTCACTCACAGCACTAGCCAGTCAGGTCAGGATCTGTCTTTGTGGCCAGTGGTAGGTACTGGAGATAGCAAACTGGTTTTTGGCTGGGCCAAGAGTTGAGCTCCTGTCTCCTTCAGGGGTCTGTCTATCCTGTCTTTTTCCTAAAGCATCAACCAAATATGGCTATGTGCTGAAAAGGGTAGGGGTGGAGGCTGGAAGGATGGTTCAACCTGTGGGGAGCCCCTGGAGACCTGTTTTTGGCCTCTGTTTGGCAGTCCCTAACACTCTCACCCCAAGTGTACCTGTGTATCCCAGGCCTTGGGGGGTGCCAGTATCCAGTAATTTCACACAGAACCATAATGGACCCTCCTCACTGCCCCAGGAAGGGAGGAAGTACAGCTCCTACCCCCATTTTATAGATGAAGAAACAAACTTTGAGACTGCAGATAACTTATCCAGGTCCCACATCAGAAAGCAGGAGGATATTGGAATTTTCCTGTCACTGTCTGGGTTATGAGGAGAGAGGAGGGACATTAGGGGACTAGAGAAGGTGAGTCTTGGTTACACCTTGCTATCCAAATGTTGACATCTGCTGAGCAGAGCAGTGGTTGATACTTCAGGGAGGGGCCGGGTTGTCACTCTTCTTACCCTGTGCTACCAGGAACTTCCCTTTCTCCTTGTGGTTGCACACAAATGCTCTGGCTGCTCCATGACTGCCAGCATGTTTGCCATGTTTCATAGGTATCCACTTAGACACATGGAAATCTGTAAAGCCACACCTGCCTGTGGCCCCCTCATCTACTGGAACTGAATTCTGCTGACTAGAAGGTGGGGAGGTGCCTGAACAGAAACCTAGGTCTTCACTTGTCTGCAGATCCACCAGGACTGAGTCCCTTGTCATGGAATGAAAGGCCTAGAGGCAAGAGTTTAGATTGTTATGTTGGTGACAAAAACCAGCCTAAGTACATCAGAGTGGCCCCAGAGAACATACCATTCTTGCATATCAGCCAGAGACAGACCAAAACAGATATGTGCCCAAGAGGATACACATGCATATGTGGATATATGTGCACATGTGCATATACTCTCACAGACTGAAAAACCAAAGTCCAGTCAGGCACATCTTTGCCACTTTCAGACAGACTGACTCTTCATTGGCTGATTCTGTGACACCTTCCCATCCCCTTCTTTCAGTCCTTCTTGGAGAAGAGCTGGGGCTGAGACCAAGGACTAAGAGGACACGAAACCTTTGCAATCCAGGTGCTAGTGTCAGGTACTCCAGGTTAAGATGGAGAGTGCTACTGGAGCCTGGAGGTAGGAAGGTGGGGCCTGCAGGCCTTTCTGTATAGCTACCCACCTCTACAGACCAGCCTCCTTCCTATTAACCCAAGCCTCTGTGAGCCCAGAGTGGTGCCAGTGTCCTTGTGTTACCCAGGGTAGTGCCTGCTGACCCTCTCCCACTTCCCTCTGTCCTAGGTGGTACAGAGGATCAAGGCTGTGGAAGGGCAGACACGGCTGCTGGTGGTAGACAAGGAGACGGATGAAGAGCTGCGCCGGCGGCAGCTGACCTGCACTGAGGAGATGGCCCAGCGAGGCCTTCCACCAGCTCATGACCCCTGGGAGCCAAAGCCTGACTGGGCACATGGGGGCAGCCTCAGATCTGATGCTGGCCAAAAGGTATGGCAGGCTCTCGTTATGGGGTCACTCAGCTGCTCCCAGAGCCGCTATCTCAGCCTTTTGACAGTCTGCACTTCTGGTTATCTCCATAAGCTGATGTTTCTTTTACCTCTTGGCACCCCCTCTCTGCCTCAGTGACCCATGGTGACCACCTTCTAGGCCACTTGGGGCCACTCATTCTGTCCTTATTGTGCCCCACCCCTGGGCTCAGTGGCTGAGGAGCCCTGGGAGGAGCTAGTAGGTTGTTCTAGGACCTCATGTGGCTAGCTCTGTCTGTGCTAGATGTCTGTCAGTGGCCCTGGGAATCTGTGTGTCCTGGGAAGAGCTGCTGGAGGCTGCATTTTTGCATTCTCCATTTTTGGGCAGTGCTTTGATTAGGGCGAGTTGAGGACACATTGAATTGAGGGCCCAGCATGGCCAGAGTTGGAGTGGACCAAGGAATAAGAGTAGGGCCAGCACCCAGTCAGTGCTTTTGCACTGGCTTCTCAGGCCTGCCCCTCATGTGTTGGGTCCTAATGGGGTGACTCCCCCAGATAAAAGGGGCCTCTGTGGCCCACCTTTTTTTTTTCTTTTTTTTCTGAGACAAGAGCTTGCTATGTAGTCACTTTGAACTCACTGTATAGCCCAGGCTGGCTTTGAACTAACGGTGGCTCTCTTGCTTCAATCTCCCAAGTGCTGGGATTACAGGGATGTGCCACCATGGTCAGATGTGTCCCTTCTGTGTAGTACCTGTCCTTTGTCCCTGCCTCGTTTCCAGGTTACCAGTTCTACACACACAAAAAAGAGAGCTAAGCATGGAAGCATATGCCTGTAATTCCAGCACTTTGAAGGCTAAGGTGGGATGTTGAGGCAGGAGGATCCCTGCCAATTCAAGGCTAGTCTAAATTACAGAGAGGCTCTGTTTTTTTTAAAATTTAATTTAATTTTTTTATTGGTACCAGGATAGAGCTCACAACCACATGCTTGCAAAGCAGGGACTTATGCTGCTGAGCTAAATCCCCAGCCCCTGAGACTCTATCTTTTAAAGAAAGAGAGAGAGAGAGAGAGAGAGAGAGAAAGAGAGAGAGAGGAAGGAGAAGAAGAAGAAGAAGAAGAAGAAGAAGAAGAAGAAGAAGAAGAAGAAGAAGAAGAAGATAGAAGGAGAAGGAGAAGAAAGAGAAAGAGAAAAAGAAAAAGAAAAAGAAAAAGAAAAAGAAAAAGAAAAAGAAAAAGAAAAAGAGGAAGGCTGGGGCTATAGCTCAGGAGCACACTGCCTTCTTGGCAAGCGTGAGATCATGAGTTTGATCCCCAGTACATCCCCAGCAAGGAAAAAAAAAAAAAAAAATTGAAAAAGAAAAGAAAAAAGAACAAGGGAAAACCTTTCCCACTTCCTTCCCGATAGCTATAATACCTGGGTGTGTGACTTGAGGCCAGGAGAAAGGGCTTGGGGTTGTACCTCCTGGAGGCCCTCATATTTTCTCTCATACTCAGAACCCTGTCACAACTACCCAAAAGAATATAAGTCTAGGGCGGGGGCTGGGGGAGGATTTAGCTCAGCGGCGTAAGTGCCTGCCTTGCAAGCGTATGATTGTGAATTCGATCCCAATACAAAAAAAAAAAAAAAAAAAAGAATTTCAGTCTAGGGGTTCCCCAGATCCTGCTCTGAGACCCTGTAGCCTAGGGGTGATGGCATTGTCAGGTCTGAAGTTTCTGAACACCTTGAGATTTGCCTTTTCCTTTCCCTTTCCTTAGCTGTGCCTAGGATTTGACCCTGATAGAACCTGCCTTAGGATGGGGAGATGGAATTCCCAGCAGAAGTCTTCTTCCTGGGCAGAGGCCTGTGTAGGGGACCCAGGAATGCTTTTTGTTCCCTGAAACTGGAGGGCATATGCTAAGTCCTGGAGTCTAGACTGCCTCAGGGCTGCCAAAGGTTGAAAGTCTTTCAGGAAAGTCCTCCTGGTGGCCAGCTGGTCCCCAGGTCCCCTCCCCCGGCTGAGGATTGGGTACCTCCTCCCTTCCTTTCCCAGGAGGAAGCAACCCCCACCCCCAGCATTTGTCCATTGATTTAGACACAACAGTGGTAGCTGAGTTCACCTTCCTGTGGAAAAATACGCCCTTGGGCCTTATCTGGAGGTGGGGTGGCTGAGGCACCTCAGTCTTGGGTGGGACCTTCCCCCCTTTCTGCTATTTCAGGCTCTGGGGGCTGCAGGAAGCCCTAGGAGGGAGCTTCCTTTGGGTGTATTTTTAGAGGAACAAAGGGAGGTGTGATGGGCAGGTCCCTCTATGGATGAGGTTAACTTGGGGATGGGGAGTCTGGGAGGTCAGAGACCCTGGGGATGGGGTCATTCTCATGTGTGTGGCTGCCACAAGCCAGGCTTAGAGACATTTGCCTTGAAGTTGAATGCAAGGAGTGTGGGAGGATGGGGTGTACCCTGCCAGGATGTTCTCTCTGATGAGGGTGTTTGTAGAAGAGGGACAGACTTAGGAGGTATGTGTGAGGCCCACCAAGTGCCCCAAAGGAAGTAACGGCTGCCTTTGCTCTGTCTGTGCCTCAAGTGTTCTCTGTCCTAGGCTGGGTAGGGAACGTGGGGCATGGAGAACACTAGTGTGGTCTGTCCTTCCCTTTGGGGGCCTAGAAGGCCTTGTCAGTGGTGACTCAGCCCAGGGCCACAGGAGTCTGGGGGTGGCTGCAGCTGCAGTGCAGCTGATTCTTGCAGTGACAAAGGAAACAGAGACAAGGCAGCCAGGGAAGTGGTGAAGCACCCTTGCTATCCACCTCCTCACCCCCAGCTGTGATCTCCCCCATTTGGAGGGAGTGTAGGGTAGGTGGCTGCAGGGTACAGGATGCAGTGCCTGCAAGAGGGCCTGGGGTTCTCTAGGCTGCTATAGTCCTCCTCCACTGTATGAGCCACCGTAGTAGGACTGTCCTCTGTCTTGGGGCTGGGGTTCCCCTCCCTTCCCTGTCTCCCTAGCCCTGGGTCCAGCAGCAGGGCAGGGCCTTACAGTGGCTTCCTTCCTTCCTTTCTTGGGACGGAAACCCAGTTAGGTGGGTGGGTGGGTGGGGGTGCTGGGTTGGAGTCTCAGCAGGGGACAGGGCTCAGTCACCACCCTGCTCCCCAAAGTGATTCAGCCTGTATGTCCCCACCCATCCTCAGGGAACCTGGGCTCCCACAGAAGGTAGATAAGTAGGGTGGCAGCCTGGGCTGGCCAGAGAGCTCAGGACACTCCAGGCTGTATGCTGACTGCTTGCCATTTCTGTACTGCCTCTCATGGCCCGCTCCAGGAGTTCCACACCACCCACCCCAGCTCCAGGAACCTTTCCACAGAGCCCACCCTGGGGGCTTGTGCAGGTCAGGTGGGATTTGGGAAGGGTGGGGCTGTGAGGACCCCAGCCTCGGTTCATTCCTCCAAGGAGGGAAAAGGGACTTGGGGACCTTTGTGTAAGTAGGCTGGACCCCAAGCAACAATGGGGGCCTTTCTGTGTTAGTGCTGGTGAGTCACCATCTGGAGGGGGCACTGCTTGACTCTTGGGGCATTCCCATGCCAGCCTCTGGCTCAGCGGGAAGACCAGCACTTGCCTTTCACTTCTTTAGCTGTGGGACCCTGAGGGCCTGGAGAGAGGCAGCAGGAAGTGTGCAGAGCCAGGCCAGGGAAAAGGAATTCCAGCAATGCACCCCCCACACCCACAGCTTGCCTGCCCACCCTTTTTGCACTGCTTTGTGTAGCCGGGCCCCCTATTGCACTCCAGTTGAGGGTCTCTTGCCAACTTTGACACCTTGAACCTGCTAGTCATAATGAGAGGGACTTATGTTAATAATTAGTAAGTAGGAACCTCTTGGCCTGTGCAGTGAAGGGGGGGGGTGTTCCGCATTGAGGCAGAGAGATGGCCAGAGTGGTCCTGAGAACACGGATGTGGCCTTAGCCTAGCCTCATGGCCCCGGATACTCCTGTCAAATCCTGCTTCCTGTTTGGGGGCCTTGAGAGATCCTGCCAGTCAGGCTGTTGCAGTGACTGTGGGAAGAGGCCACAGGGGCTGGTGTCACGGGCCCTGTGTTTACTTTTATGGGTGGCTGTGAGTGTCCCTGTAGGATGTTTAAAAGTGTAAACTTGGATGCCTTTGTCTCTGTAACCAAGGGATATAACCCTGCATTCTAGGCCATGTCCCTAAGCTAGGCATGGTCACATCATGTGTCTATCCTCTGGGCTGGCTCTGGCTTCTGTCTTGGTTTTTTCCTTCTCATCCCAGGCTGTGCTCCTGACACTTCTGTGGGAAGGTGGCAGGCCTAGAGGTGTAGGCTTAGAACACTAGGCAAGGCAGCAGGAAGACACTGTTGCTTCCATAGTGATGTAGCTGCCCATGGACAAGAACCAGTCAGATTTGGGGTTTGGAATGAGCTCAAAGATTGGGCAGCTGGAGCAATCAGGGGGTGCTCTGGCCTAAAGAAGGATGGGTGCCCATGTCTTGGAGACCTTCCCTGAGACCTGAGGGACAGTCCCCCTAGTGCTATCCCTGCTCCAGCTTGGCCAGGATCCCCCTGGTACCGATAAAAAAAAAGGAAGAAGACAAAAAAGAAAAGATGCAGGGAGATGGAAGGTGAGGGAGGGGCCAGCACACTCTCACCTGCATACGCCCTCAGAAACCTGAGCTGCTACCCGCCTACTCACCCTGGCCACTGTAATGTGTAACTGGGCACCAGCACCCGAAGGCCATTCAGCACCACAGTCACTGTTCTGGTTGCTGGCTGGGTGGGGGTCACTGGGTCTGCCCCCTGCCTACATAGCCCCTGACCTGGAGACCAGCTGCAGGATGCCAGAGGTAAAGCAAACTAGGGACCTGGGTGGCAGTGGGGGTTCCCTGCTGATACTGAGTGCTGTTGTATCTCTAGTAGGGTGGTGGGGGCAGGGCTGGGGTTCCCCTTCTAGGTCTGGCCCTTTCTTTCTGGGCTTCAGAGGTGGAATTAGCTGTGCTTTGCACTGGAATATGAAAGCAAACACAGCCATCACACAGGCTGCAGCCCATGGCCTACCTCCTGGAGGAACACAGCTGACCAGGCCTAGGAAGTGGGGCAGGAAGCCAGGGAGGTGGGATGTACACGCAGGCCTGGGGGTGCAGCCATTTCAGTCATTCTGTCACTGTGATAGATGGGAGCTTAATTCCACCTGGCTTTTCTCCCTACAACCTCAGCCAGTGCACAGCACCACCCTTGAGCATGAATTTTCCCAACAACTCCACAAGGCAATGTCCCAGCTGAGAATACTTCATATTGGAAACTGAGGCTTTGCCTGGGGTCCCACAGCTAGAACTTGGTCTCAGGCAGCCTCACCGAGGCACTGGGGCAGGGAGCACGTGGAGTGTTTGTTGTTGAGACCTGGGACTTCCTGCTAAGGTGGTGGGTGGTGTTCAGAAGAGTGACTTCTAGGTTTGGGAGGCCAGAGCCTGACCTCACATCCTTTATGACTGCAGGATGTCACTGTGCCTCCAAGAGAGCTGCGCCCTCGGCTCTGTCACCTTCAAAAGGGACCTCAGGGCTACGGATTTAATCTGCACAGTGACAAGTCTCGACCTGGCCAGTACATTCGCTCTGTGGACCCAGGCTCACCTGCTGCCCATTCTGGTCTCCGTGTCCAGGACCGGCTTATCGAGGTACTACAACCACTGATGTGCCATGTGTGTACATGTCTGGGACTTGGGTCTTTGCTGAAGGAGGGGAGTCACCGGGAACCTGAGCTGGCACTCCTGTTGCTGCCTCAGCTGGTGGTGGCTTTGATGAATATTTGATGGCACACCTGGCTAGGTGGTGTGGGTCAGGCTGTGTCCTTTGAGTCCTGCTGACCCTGTGCTGGTGGTGGCAGGTGAATGGGCAGAACGTGGAAGGGCTGCGCCATGCTGAGGTTGTTGCGAGCATCAAGGCACGGGAGCACGAGGCCCGGCTGCTGGTGGTGGACCCTGAGACTGATGAGCACTTCAAGCAGCTGCGGGTCACACCCACTGAAGAGCATGTGGAAGGTGGGCCAGTGCCTGGGGGGATGGGGTAGGGTCAATGTCAGGAGAGACCAGCCACTGACATGCTGTCCCCACAGGTCCACTGCCATCACCAGTTACCAACGGGACCAGCCCTGCCCAGGTGAGAGAGTGGGTCCAGGTGACCATGGTGCACCTCTGGGTCCCCAGGACTGACAGAGGCACTCCTTCCCCTGGAGATCTCTGCATTTGAGTAGTGTGGTTGTAAGACCCAGACCCATGTCTGGCTCTATTACTGCACTGGCTCCTCTGTGGGGATACTGTCCTGGGTCAGTATCATGCCCTAGTCACACATGGTAGGCAGGCACCTAGGGTTCTGGGGCCACTGTCTCTCTTTTCTGTTCCTGGTACTATGTGGCTATTATTTCATCCTGCAGTGCTCACCTCCTTGGAAGCTGGTCCTAGCTTTGTCCCAGATGATACTCATGGTTGATTCCTGCACCAATATTGCCCTTTCATATTGTGACAGGCCAGGGCTGGTCACCTGCCTGTTTACTGCTGGGTGCCCAGTGTCTTGCTCAGCTGGATCTGGACAGTAGTGGAGGATTGGTGCTCACTACCAAAGGAGTAGTAGATATACTTGAGGTGTGCACCTGTGCAAAGGCCTGCATGTAAAGGTGTAGTGTGTGTGCAAGGGCATGCATGCAGATATGTGTAATGGTGTACTATGTACAAAGGAGTGCATGTGTAGCTGTGGTGTGTGAACAATGGTGTGCATGCTCAGCTGTCATATATGTGCATGTGTGTGTGTATGTGTGTGTGTGTGTATATACACTAGTGGCTCCGTGGGTGGGAACCCTGAAGCCCTGCCTTGCCCTTGGTTTCCCAGCTCAATGGTGGCTCAGTGTATTCATCCCGAAGTGACCTACTGGGCTCAGACAAGGACACTGAGGTAACTCTGCTGTGTTCAAACATGGATGTGCCAGAGGCCTTGAGGGTAGGTGTCTGTGGAGATTACAGCCTGGACAGTGGGGCCACCACTTACAGGAAGCCCTCCTGCACTCACTGTCCTGATCCCCAGGTGGCCTCTGGTATAAGCTTCTTGGAAAGGTACCTGTCTGGGGCCCAGGTCTAGAGCTTATTTCTGGCACCTTGCCTGCCTTGTGCCCCCAGGATGGTGGTACCTGGAAGAGAGATCCATTCCAGGAGAGTGGCCTCCACCTGAGCCCCACAGCAGCTGAGGCCAAGGAGAAGGCTCGGGCCACACGGGTCAACAAGCGGGCACCACAGATGGACTGGAACCGGAAGCGTGAGATCTTCAGCAACTTCTGAGCCCCTTCCTGCCTGTTTGGGCCCATGTGGAATCTCTGGCCTTTCCAGAGCTCCCCAAGCCTCAGTGGACTGGAGGGTGATCTCATGACATCCAGAAAGCAACCTGTGCCCAAGTGAGCTGCTGTCTTGTCTTCAATTTGCTGTGTGCTGGGGCACTGTCCCACCAAGATGGGGGGAGAGAGAGACAATAAGAGACAAGTGAGAGAAAGAGACAGTGATGGAGAGAAGGGGCCCAGAATGTGACTATTGCCAAGGGCCTTGCTCTGTCCCAGGCTTGCTGACTGAAAGGAATTCATTTTTGCTTTTTTCCCCAGAAGATTTGCAATACACATTTTCACTTAATACCAGAGGCTCCCCTCTCTCTTGCTCTCTAAATAATTGCAATAAAACAAACCTTTCTCTGCAAATCCTTCCTCCCTTTCCCCAGCAACACCATCCTGAGTGGAAGCCCAGGGACTTCCAGAGGACAGAACCAGGGACCCTCGCCATGCTCATGTGAGCTTTTTTTGGGGAAAGGCTGGGGAGGCCAGATGTGCCTGCAGGAGTTGCCTTCCCTTGTGTGAAGGGTTACTAGGTCAAGTCCTAGCTCTTTGCCCACTAGAGGCTTGGAGTGCAGGACCTGGCCTCTATGAGGTGCCTGAGGATAGAGGCCCATACCCCCAGGAGGGCAGTCTCTGGATACATCCCCCTTCCCACACTCCAGCTCCCAGATTTGGGGAGTATGGATATAAGAACTACCCCCATAAAGGACCCCAGACCTATAGGCTTAGCCTCTGCCTTACACCCCATCCCCAAGGACATCCTGTTGGCTCTGCCCTTTATTCAGTGCCCTGAGCCCCAACAGGCACTGCTGTCTGCCTTGTAAGCCATAGCGCATGCGCGCCCTAAGAATAAACAGGCCTTGCCTTGGAACCTAGCATCATGTCTTCTTTGAATCTCCGGTTGGTAAGTAGAAGTTGATGGATGAGGGCCATTCTAGGGGACCCTGAGGTCAAACTGCAGTCAGGGTGGCTTTAGCTTCTACTCCTACCTGGGGCCCCCACCCTCTGGGGCCTCTGCCCATCTCTATTTGGGGAGCCCCAGCTCCCCACCATTATCTCCTCAAGGCTGCCTGAGCTCAGGATCTCTACAAGCTATCCCCCACATTGAGCACTACACACAGTTCAAGCTTTGTGTTCTGGTGTCAAGACATGTTGTTCTGTGAATGTTGAGGTGGAACCCTGGCAGAAGCAGCTCTCAGAGTAAGTTCAGGAGTTGGCAGAGTCTGGTCTGAGAAGCTGCTGGGCCTACAGATGGACAGAGTGTGGAGGGACTACAGGGATACCGTTCTAGTACACTGAGTCCCCGACTAACGAATGAGTTCTGTTCCAGGAGAATATTCATAAGTCAGATTCATTTGTAAGTCTAAGAAAGTAAGTCTTACACACTTCTGACACAAATATACAATGTAAAGCATAAAGAAAACCAAACATACAAATACTGTAAATAAACTATTTTTACTTTTATAATTATCTGAAAATGATAGTATAGTACAGTACAAAGGTAGGCATGTGAGCTACTTCCATGATTTGTTCACATCTACAAATGTTCACAATGTGAGGTCCCTTCCTATCTGTGAAAGTTCACAACTCTTAAGTCAGGGACTTACTATAGGCTTCCTGGCAGCTGGGTGCAGCTGGTTGTCACCATTTCCTCCTTCCCTGAGTACACAGCAGGGATTGTCATATTCTTCAGTCTCATAGGGAACTCAGCCCAACAACCATGAGCAGTATACATGTTTCCTTGCTGCCCTCAGACCCTGCGAATAGAATTCAGATCTCAACTGCAAACAATACCCAAGCTTTATTACACAGGTTGTAATCCTCCCCGGCCCCACTCCTGAAAAAGGCACTTTATAGGCAACAGCAGCAACAGGACCCAAGCTGAAGACCCATGGTCCTTAGAAGCTCTGGGCAGAAGGGCAAAGGGCCTGGTTGAGGCAGGTCTGGCAGCGAGGGTGGGTAGGTAGGCAAATCTGCTGGCCAAAGCCCACCAATAGTCCGTTGATCTCACTCCACAGCTGCCTGTGGAGGAGAGAGCCATGTCAATGTGGAGAGAGGAAAAGGCCCCATCCATCAGAACACCCCCATCCCACTGCACCTGGGCAGCCACTCCTCTAGGGCAGCGCGGGTCTCCTCTGGAGATTTGGTCATTCTCTTGGTCCACTTCAGTCGATTTGCAATTCTATGCACATGTGTGTCCACTGCTGTATGGAAACAGGGCAAGATGAACTGGTATTCTCCACCAAACCATGACTGCCCAAGTCATTATGTATGTGGGCAGGAGAGCCCACCCTAGGGCTCCAGAGCAGAGATGAGAACTGCATAGCCCTGGCTGCATGGCTGCTGCATCTCAGCTGCTGGGCTGGACCTGAGCCTCTCCCTGGTTGCAGCCCCTTGTATCTCTCCTATTGCTATGGGAGACTGTTAAGAGTCCAGTCCCAGTAATCCTAATGCCAACATGGGTATCTCTGGGCCAGGAAGGTATCTCTGCTCTAGATTCTGCCTTGACAACAGTAACAGCTAACTTGGGTCAACGGCTTGATGGGGTCAGATCCCACACTGAATTCCATTAGCTTCAGCTCAGTAACTCTTTTCTGATTTTTGTTTGAGAGTCCATTTAGTTCAGGCTGTCCTTGAACTCACTATATAGCCCAGGCTGGTTTTAAACTCTGGCCATTCTCCTGGCTCAGCTTTCCTGAGCTAGAATTATAGGCATGTGCCATCATACCTGGCTTTGTTTTTTTTGAGACAGTCTTGCTATGTGGTTCAGGCTGGCCTTGAACTCAGTATGTAGACCCAGCTGGACTCAAACTTGCTCCCAAGTGTTGGGGTTACAGATGTGCACTACCATACCCAGCATAGTAACTCTTTACAAACCACCTGTGGGTGTAAAATCAGACCAGGCAGGGTTCATTCCAAAGCATGCAATAGCTAGGGTATAGTGTGTGCTTGGCATATGTGAAATTCTGGGTTTGATCCCTAGCACCAAAAAACAAAAAACAAACCAAAACGGTGTACTTTCAGTTCATACTTTCCTCATTTACAACATCTGGCCTATAAAGGGCATGGCCTGCTTTCTTTGCCTCAGCTGCTGTGGATCCTGGCCAAGGCATTGGCTTTGGGCACCAGGTTGGATAACAGCAGCTGGATATAGTAGGTTAGTCCGAGATTATTGTGGCAGAGCTGGAATCTGCCACTGTATCTATCAGAGACACAGCAGGGAATGTGGCCAGGGCTGCTGTAGCTGTGATCTACCTGAGCCTCTGCCCCTACTCCTACCATCTGGCCACTGCAAAGGTTCATTCCAGGTGCCTACTCATTAGGGCCTCTTCCTCTGGCCCAGGCCTCCTCCTCTTGGCCAGCTGCAGTCTCAGCCCTGCTTTCTTCTCCGGGGTTGGTTACCAGAAGCTAAGCCCTGCAGTAGCTCCCTTCCCTTGCCAATGCTTGGGAAAATGTATCTTGGGTATAGGCAGAGGATGACTGCTTGGTGGGGAGTTCACATCCCAAAAACCCTGAGCCTGTTTTTGCCTAACACAGAGGTGACCATGCTCCTTAGGACATCCAGGTGTTCAGTCCAGGGCTACATTATGTGTTAAATTCTTGTGCTGACCCAAAGGGATTCTGATACATCTGTATAGTTAAGTATGGCAACTCTTTTATTGGCTTTGAAGGAACGAAGCCAAATGCTTGATATAAGGTAGCCCAGCTGAAAGTGGAAAAGCTGGGATGGGCTCCTGTAACCCATAGCTCTAACTTTTTGTTTGCTTTTTTTTAAACTTTTTATCGGTACCGGGGATCGAACTCACAACTGCCTGCTTGCAAGGCAGGTGCTTATGCCGCTGAGCTAAATCCCTAGCCCCTCTAACTTTTAATTTGAAGAGGACTTTTTTCCTCCCCTAGGAAGCAGCCCTGGAGTCTCTGTGATGGTCAAATTCACGGACAACCAGACAGAGTGACTTTCAAACACTCCTTTTGGCTGTGTCTACTGTGTTCAAAATATAGTCCCCTGCCTGGCCATGAGCCCTTCCCTTCCAGAGGTACCCAAACATAACATAGCACTCCTGGGACATGGGCAGGCAACTGAGGACAGTGCTCAGATAGGCTCAAATGTCTACCAAGAGGCTGGCAGGTAGCACTGAGAGTTTAGGTAGGGGAGGAGGCAGTGGTCTGCTCCTGCCCAGCCCAGTTGTTCCAGAGATTAATACTCTTCAGTCTCAATTGTAGCTGCTAGCTACCAACCACAGCTCTGGGCCCTGCGCTACTCTCCTGTTTGTCAGGGAGTGTTGCAAAGTTGCCTGCCCAAGGACCTGTTGAGGGAGCACCCCTTCCTACACAGAATCTCAGAGTAAGGGGCAAGGAGAGGCTGGGGTCACTTTCCTGGTTTCTGAACTGGCTGGCTGGGCCCTGCTGCTGTGTAGCTGCAGGAGCCTCAATCTCTAGACAAAGGTTCAAGAAAGCAGCAGCATTGTCCCCACCCCAGGGAGTCTGCCTTAGCCCACTACACTAAAATCTCCAATGTCAGCAAGTGACATCCAAAAAAAGGATTCCACGAAGGGCCCTGCCCCTGCCCCAAACCTCCCACTCAGTTGTCTCATTTCAGTTTCTGCTCCTAATCTCTTGTCTGCTGTACAGCTTTGCAGACACTGTTCCTTCTGTCTGGAATACACTTTCTTCTCTCAGCCTGGCTAATCTTTTTTTTTTTCCGGTACCAGGGATCGAACTCACAACCTCACGCTTGCCAGGCAGGCACTTAGGCCCTGAACTAAATCTCCAGCCCCCCGCTTGGCTAATCTTGCCTTAACCTGCGCTCTGGGTGGAAAACATGTCACCTGCCCAGGCTCAGCAGCATATGTGCCCCACATCAGCGTTTCCACCCACAGGGGAGGCACTCTATGTTGAATCTCTCTCCAGCAGGGGGCACACACCTATGTTTAGCTTCAGGGCCCTTTAGAACCCATCAGATAGTAAGATACTCAGGAAATTTGATCTCCTACTGTATTTGTTTCTGGTAGAGCTGGCCAATTTATCATTGGGAATACCTTCCTAACTTCAGGCTCAGTCTTAGATGAGAAGGCTCGAGCTGGGTCATTGGTCACAGGATGTGGAGAATCCCAACAGCAACCACCAAGCCTAGAAGCCATTCCTCCTTCTTGTGCCAGGTGCCACTTACCTATTCCTGACACAGTGCCCCAGGCCACAGCCATAGCTAGGTGTGCCATCTTGGGCCCCACACCAGGCAGTGCCACCAGCTCAGCCAGAGAGGCTGGAATGTCCCCATTGTAGCGCTGCTTCAGGATGGCACTTGTCTGCTTGATGAACTTTACTTTGCTCTGAAAGATGGTAAAAGATCAGCCCTGGGGTGGGGAGGTATAGCCTGATATGGGAGGACAAGGTCCTGAGGAGACCCAGAATTGCCTGTCACCTGCTCATCTCATTCCCCAGTAGATAGGAAAGAGCCAAGGGCAGCAGGGAGACTTAAGAGAGGCCCTCACCGGGGACCAAAGGTAGGGCTAGACCCCTGCCTTCCAGGCTTATGGACCAATGACATGTCTGGGGGGCCCAGCTTATATCCCTCTGCCCCAACAATCTCTCCCAAAGGCTGGGCTAGGCTGAACAGATAGGCCATTCCTAGGAGTTGAGCTCCTCAGCACCTGGGCCTTCAGCAAGGAAGGCCCAACTCCCTGCCAGCTGCTAAGCCAGCCAGGGAGTTCGATTCTGTTGCTGAATGAAGAGGGATATTTAAAACCTATTTAAGAGCAGCCCCACCCACTGAGCTACTTTCAATAGATCTGTCCACCCACCATCCAGTATTCTGAGGGAGCAGCTTGTTTGGGGATGCTCTCCAGGGAGGCTGGAAGTAAACAAAGGGGAAGGCAAGGAAAGGAAGGGCAGGCTGCTGTGAGGGAGGTAGAGGAAGGAAGGGGCACAAATGGGAAAGGCCAAGGAGTTCCAGGGACAGGGAAGCAGCCACAAAGCCTGCCGCCACCCCACCCTACCAGTTGCTCAGAGGCAGGAAGAGCCCGTAGCTAGAAATGCTTGCTCCTTGCCTTCTGTGTCTCTGCCTGGCCAGTACCACCCCAGCCCTGTCACCATGAGCCAGGCTTACCCTCCAGAATCCCACCGGATAGATGAGCTTGCCCAGCGTGTTGTCGTCTGTCTGCAGGATGCTGTCTACAGTTAGGCCCTGGGCCAGAAGTCGCTGCATGGCACCTGCAGTCACCTGGTCTTTGGTCTGGCTGGAAAGCATCAGAGCCAGTAGTATCTGGTACCTCTGTACCTGCTTGTGCAATGACAAGGACCAGAATAACAATGGGTTCTGGGAGCTTACTCTGGGCCAAGCCCCAGTTAAGCCCTCTATCATCTTCCTTTCATCCCCCTGGACCTTCTACTCACCAAGATTAACAGGATGTGTGTGTGGGCTTGCCTTGTGCTGCCTGCAGTGGAGGCAAGCTAAGAGCTGCCAGGTCTCAGGCTGTCCCACGCCTGAGGCCTGAGAGGAAGCAAGTGTCTTTCTTGCTGGGGGAGGTGTGTCACCAGGGCAGGTGGGGCTGCTCCCTACCTTCGGGGGAGCACTTGGGTCACAGCAGTGCTCAGCTCCCAGGTGGTCCACAGGTGCATCCTTCTTGCTCCTCATAATTCGGATATTGGTTAGCTGCTGCTGCCACTCCTGCGGCTCCCAAACTGTCACTACAGGTAGGTCAGCCCCCTCACTTTTCTCACCATCTGAGGTCTCATAGGCCACACACAGTCTCTGTGCTTTCCGCTTTCGCTTTGCAGGCATATAGTTTTTTTTTCCTTCTGCAAAAAAGCACTACTCAGTCAGGTCTGGTGTCGAAAAACTTGTAATTTCAGCACTTGAGAGGCTGAGGCAGGAGAATCCCCGTGAGTTCAAGGCCTGCCTGAATTACATAGTGAGATCCACAGTTCTTCAAATAGGGCCAACAGAGAGAGGGGTGAGCACAGGTACCGCTTGCCACCTCTCTCACTTATTCAGGTAGACCGTCCATTAGCTACCTAGCAGGGGTGTGCTGCTTCCTGGAAGGCAGAGGATGTAACCCTGAAAAAGTGCAATTAGCATGCCAGGATTCCAGTAAGGCTCCTACCATTATGCCTCAATACGGCCTATAAGCTGTATCTAACTTTCTAATACTCAAATCAGACTGCCACTCTCCTCTCGTCGCTTTGCTTTGCCTTAGCCCTCAAGATGAGTCCCGATTCTCTCTGGCTATGAACGCACTTGCTGACCTTGGAAGCACCATCACCTGCCTCTTTCCACTGCACAAATCCTTCCCCTCCCATGCCTATCCCAAAGGGTGACCTTGTTTGGATTTCCTAGTGCCCTGGGTGCCTATGGAATCCCTGGACTGGCCAAATTCCTGGTCTGGCCAAATCTGTAGAATTTCTAGCACGGGAATATAGGGGCTCTGTTGGTCTCGCTGAGTCCTGCTCCTTGGCACACAGTAGGTCCTTAAGGGTTACAGGACAAGTACAATGAAGGCCATGCCCTTTCCTGTTTTATCTGGGCACCACCCTTCAGCTGGAGGAAACCTTCGGGCTGGAGTTTTTTTTGGGGGGTTGGGTATTTTTTGGCAGTCAGTCTGGCCGAGAAGGAAGCAGCACAGAGCACAGCACTACAGTGCCCTGCAGTCAGCCCGGCACAAATGGACTGCCCCAGGGCAGGCTGGTGGGACTGGAACTTTAACGCGCAGGACGCGGGCGGGGCGGAGCCTAGATGCGGACACCAGTGTCTGAGAAAGGAACCGGGTGGAACCTCAAGGCTGCACGTAGGGCCAGAGGGTTCATTGGCGTTTGCAGGCTTTGCCGCGTCTTGGGTCCGAGTTCCAGCCTGCAACCCTCCATCCCTTTCCCTAGCCTCCTTCCGCGGTTTGGCCGGGCCCAGCGCTACCTGCAGCCACCTCTCTGTTCTCGGGCGGCGTGGGTTCTTCCCCATTTCCCCGCGACCCAACCCCGGTAGCGCGGCTCTGGCTGCGCGTCACCATCCTGGCCGCCGCCGTCGCTACTGCCGCAGCCTTCATGCCAGACTATGCTTTCCAGCAGCCCCGGCGGCCAGTCACTCTGCTCAGTACGCGCGTAGAACTACGGCTCCCGACAAGCCCAGCGTGGCTCTCTGCACTCTCCCACCCCCGGAAGTGCGGGTCGCGTTTCCGGCGGTGGCTTGTTGGTGGGGGGGCTCCGGGGAGTGAACGCTTCTCAGCACCTTGCGGCTGCAGCGGGTAAGTGGGTCTTGGCGACACTGCCACTAGTGCTGGCTGAGACGCCAGTGTGGCTCACTGCTGACTTGGTGGCGAGGATGCTGGCTCCATATGCTCATAGCTCTGCTGTGTCCACTGCACCTTAGTCTCTAAGGCCTTTTTTTTTTTTGTGTGTGTGTGTGTCTTTTTCTTTTTTATCGGTACCGGGGATCGAACTCACGACTGCCTGCTTGCAAGGCAGGCGCTTATGCCGCTGAGTTAAATCCCCAGCCTCTCTAAGGCCTTTTTGCTTTTTTTTATAAGTCATGGCGGGTGTGAGCGGGTCTCAGCTGCAGGTGTTCCTGCGACAGCTCCTCAGCCACCCAGGGAGAAGAGAGGTGGCAAATGTGGCTACCTGGAGCCAGGGGACAGGGGCGCGGGGGCGGGGGGGCGGCCGTGTCTGAGCAGGTAGCAAGTTAGGTCAAGCCTACATCTCCCATAGATTTTGTGGCCGGGTAGCCAGGCTGTGGTTGAGTGGTCCCCACGGGATGGGGCAGGGGTTGATTATATCCCCCGGAGACTAGAGTCTGTGCGGCTGGAGGTCAACGGCGGCGACGCTTTCGGGAGTGGGGAGCTGTTCCTTAGCTGTTTCCAATGCCTCTTTCTTCTTCGCAGAGGAGCCCTCTCCTGGGCCCCTCCCCACTATGGCCAAGCCAGCAAGCAAAGATTCAGGCTTGAAGGAGAAGTTCAAGACTTTTTTGGGACTGCGAACAACAAGACCAAATCCTAGGTCTGCAGAAGGCGTTCAGACCGAGTTTATCATCACAGCGGAAATCCTGAGAGTGAGCGAGCTGCCTGTACCTTCCTTAGCCTAGGGAGGAGGACAAGGAAGACTGGTCTGTCACAGGGTTCTGTGGGGGATGTGTTGCTGATGCTTGCGCAAGGCTACTATCCCTAGTATTATGGAGGTTAACATACATGTACTTCCACAGGATACTTCGCATCAGGATCTTGGTCATCTGCTCAGGCATACTGACATTAGAATTCAAGTGTTAATACAAGAAAACCCATTTTGCCAGATGTGGCCTGAACACCTTCATCTTCACAGGTGGTTAGGGATAGGCCAGATGTTAACGGGTAATATGTGAGTTCCTGGGAAAAGTGGATCCCTGTTTTGTTTTCTTGGCTATGAGAACCCCGATCGATGCATATACTACATGCATATGCTACCTGCATATGCTATCATTATCTTTTTTTCTTGTGGTACCAGGATTGAACTCATAACCTCGAGCCTGGCAGGCTCATATGCTGCTGAGCTAAATCCCCGGCCCTTGTGTGTATGCTATCAATGAGCTACACCCCCAGCCCATCTTTTTTATTTTATTTTATTTATTTATTTATATATATATTTTTTGTCTTTTTCATTTTTTTATCGGTACCAGGGATCGAACTCACAACTGCCTGCTTGCAAGGCAGGCACTTATGCTGCTGAGCTAAAATCCCCAGCCCCCAATCTTTTTTATTTTTATATTTTTGATGGTAACAGGAATTTGAACCTGGGGGCTCATTTGTGCTAAGCAAGCACTATGTGATTGAGTTATACCCCACCCCCTTTTGTGTGTGTGTGTGTGTGTGTGTGTGTGTGTGTGTGTGTGTTTTTATCGGTACCAGGGATTGAACTCAGGACTGCCTGCTTACAAGGCAGGCGCTTATGCCGCTGAGCTAAATCCCCAGCCCCCCACCCCACCCCTTTTTAAAAGCTTTAATTTTGAGACTAGGTCTTGGCTAAGTTTCTCAGGCTGGCCTTGAAATGGAGATTCTTGTTTCTCAGCATCCCAAGTAGCTGAAACTTTAGGTTTGTGCCACTGAGACTAACACGTTATTTTTTATGTATTTGAATACCCCTACTAACACATAACCTTGACATGGTATTTTGCCCAAGTAAATGTTAAATTTTAGCACTTGTAAAATTTTCAGTGTTTTTTTTTTTTTTTTTTTGAGACAGAGTCTCACTATGCAGTGCAGACTGGCCTTGAACTCTTGGTGATCCTCTTTGCCTCAGTCTTCCAAATGCTGTGATTGTAGGCGTGCACCACTACACCTGGCTAAAATTTCCAGTTTAGAGAAATGCTCATTGCTTGATGATGGCTACAGCTGTATAATGGGATATGGAGTCAGCAATAGAAACAGTAGACTGCTGACACATGGTACAACAGGAATGAATATTAAAAAAGTGCTAAGTGAAAGAAGCTAGTCATAGAAGGCCCCATGATGTACAAGTCCATTAATATAAAGTGTCTAGAATAAGAAAATCCAGAGAAAAAGCAAACCACTGGTTGCTAGGGTTGAATGGAGGAAGGAATTGATTTGTGATTTTCTTTTAGGATGATGAAAAGACTCTGGAATTGGAGATGTTATAAACATCATAAATACATTAAAGTCTGAATTGCATAGTTTAAAATCTCTGCAGTGGTGTGTTTTTTACATTATGTGAATTTTATCTCAATAAAACTTTGCAAATGTGGAAAAAAACAACCACTGCCGACAAATTTGGAAAAAAACAACCACTGCCGATTGTCAGTCTGCTGAGGTCTAGAAGTAAGCTCATTGCCAAATCCTCATTCAGAGAGATCTGTTACAGAGCTCTAGTCTGGAAAATGCAGAGCAGAGCAGTTTGTAGGATGATTTGTGATTGGAATTAGGGAAACCTGTCATCTGAGTACTGGCCCTTTTTTCTTCTTTTTGCTCTTTAGGAACTGAGTGTTGAATGTGGTCTCAACAATCGCATCCGGGTAATAGGGCAGATTTGTGAAGTTGCAAAAGCTAAGAAATTTGAAGAGGTAGGTTTGTCTCAAAAATGCCATTTAAAAGTCTTGAATTTAGAGAAAGAAAAATAGAAGGCTTGAGTTTCCTGTTTGTAAGAACATATCCTCTCATTGCATGTTTGGGCTGGGGGAATGATGGGATGCCAGAAGGGGGTGTAGTTTCACAGAGGCTGCTTCATGGCACCATGGTTTTGAGCTTACTTGGGAAATGTGACTGGTTGGTGGCATCAGGAACTCTCACAGAAGATGCAGCATGTGGTTTTTTGTTGTTTTGTTTTTTTTGGTATTGGGAATCGAACTCAGAATCTTGCACTTGCCAGGTAGGCATTGTGCCACTGAGCTGTATCCCTGGCCTAGCATGTGTATTTTTGACAGTCATTTCCAGTCTCATGCTGTCTTGTGGGCAGAGTAGCTGTTTTTCTAGGGGACAGGGTTGATATAGAGCACTTTAGAGCTCCTCCTGGCTTTACCCAGCATTTGTGTATGAGATTCAGAAGGTGACTCACTTCTGCTAAGGGAATGGCTACTATATCTTTAGCTGTTCACTGGAAATATGCAAGCTTACCAAGGAGCAAAGAAAAAATAGTCTCCATGTTGAGAACCTTGCCTTTGGAGATGTAGATAAGCAGACCTGTAAGAGCTGGGATGGTCCACAGGCTCAGTGTCTTTGTGCCTCAGATTGTATCAGTGCAAATCTTGGGAATGTAATATAGAAGGTGAGAGTTCCAGCACATCTAACATCTAAGAGACCATAACCATTGTAATCCCCGCTCCTAAAAGGAGGAGACCCAGGAAGCTAAGTGGCATGTGAACACTGGTTGAAGGGAGAGAAAGGGGATACAAAAGCCAGCTCAAGTGCTTGTGTAATGGCACTTGAGTCTCAGTAGCTTGGAGCAGCAGGAATTATTAGTTTCCTATAATTAGTGGAGTTGTGAGAGAAGCAGACTTTAGAAGGCTATTCAGTTTGTCCTTATCATCCTCAATAATGATAGAGGATTAGCATGCTGTTGAGTGCCCCACACCTGGTGTGTTCACACAGAGGAAAGCCATGAGCCAGGGTTCCTGGGTAAGTGAAGGCCCCGGCCGCACCCTGCACACCTGATTCAGAGACTTGCCATGTCTCTTTTTTAGAGTCCGAGCAGCTTTTCAGCACTGTTTTCCGGTCTTAGGAAAACCAAGGCTGCTTCCTTGGCTTGCCTCTTGTCCTAGCCTTCAATTTGGACTGGTTAAAGGGACCTCCTGAGGTTTAAAGTTCTGAGACCTATGGTCATTGCAGGCTACCAAGGAACTGATTCTAAGTTAGAAGACCCCATTGTTTTGCTCTGTCCTTTGCTTTTTCTTTCTTTCTTTCTTTCTTTCTTTCTTTCTTTCTTTCTTTCTTTCTTTCTTTATTTTTATCTGTACCGGGGATCGAACTCACTACTGCCTGCTTGCAAGGCAGGCACTTCCTTTGTTTTATCATATTCTTGCATTGAGGGACCAGGGTTCTTGAAGACCATACCCTTACTGGTATCCCCTTTGTGTTGGTGGCAGCATGCAGTGGAAGCACTGTGGAAGGCTGTTGAGGACCTGTTGCAGCCAGAGCGGCCACCAGAGGCCCGACATGCAGTGCTGGCCCTGCTGAAGGCTATTGTGCAGGGGCAGGTAAGGGGAGGAGCCTCATGGCCTTTGGGTGATGTCAGGTCATCAGCCATGTGGACTCATGTCTTTGGTGAGATGCTATATGTGGGGTCTGGTAGTTAATGGGCTCCAGAGCTAGACATCATATATGGGCATTGTGATTTAATTACTCTGGTCTGTGTGACCCTAGTTAGTTACTCGAACTCTGAGCCTCTACCTCCTCACTTTTGATAGGGTTAGTGACTGAACCTTCCTCATCTAGCATATTCTGGGGATGGAAAGATACAATTCATGGGAAGGTGGGGAACATGGCTTGTCACAGCCATTGTTACCTTGCTTCTGCTGCCTTATCCTCCAGTTGAAGGATTCCCCCTGTTCGCCA